AGCCAGCAACCCACCAGGAGCAGACCTCGAAGCCAAGAGGGGTGGCTGATATAGATGGGAGATGTAGGGATGTCCCAGAATCTGGGACCAAAGTGCACCTTTGCAGAATGGCTTTATGTGGCAGGCAGGGGTGCCAGGCACAGGGAGAGGTACCCAGTTGCCAACTATCTGGAGAGCGAGCTCCAAGTCAGCTTCCCACAGGCAGCCCAGCGCTGGGATTTGGGTGAGAAAATGCCACATGGAGCCCCCTGCCCTGTCTCAGCACTCATCCAGATGTCCCCAGTGACTTGAGGCCAGCCCTAGACTCCCCCTCCCTCCCTCCACACAGCACTGTTTGCCTGCAAGGGCAGATGGCTCTCTTGGCCCTGGGCATCCAGGGTTAGTATTACAAGTCCCTTATCTTAGGGATCTTGAGCAGACAAATACACCAGAAAACTCACCAGCAAGGTCACGCCACTGCCCCAAGTCCCCTGTGTTTGCATCTCACTCAGTGTCAAAGTCTGGCAGTGGCTGAAGCCCCTCATCCATCATGCTTCCCTCTGCCCCTCCCCCCCTTGCCCAGTCCCACTGGCTGGCACCCTTCCTCCCTCCCACCAGGGTCCCTGCCCCTGCCTCAGACACCCACAGGGCTGGATCTCGCCTCCCTCAGGTCAAGTTTAAACCCCTCAGAAGGGGCATCCCTTGACCACCATTGTATCTCATTCTCCCTCCATGATTTCTCTGTAGCTCTGTTCACCAAATACTGAGGCAGATGAGGCTGGAGAATTTGCCTCCATTTCGAGGAGACTTAGTGGTCTCCAGCCAGTCCCACCTGCCCTGAGCAATGGTCAGATTGCCCCCAGAGGCAATGACATCTACCTGGCCTCCCCTGCCCTCCTCTTCAGGCACCCTGACTGGGGACCCAGATGGTTCCCAACTCTCCTGAGACTGGAGCAACCCAGCTGTGAGCTCCCGTCTTTCCCCGTCCTGTCCAGGCAGATTCTTCCTGGTGCCTCCTGCCCTTCCCACTGGCCTAGGGACCAGAGCAGCCTCTTCTCCTCTGGCCCCTTAGCTACCCACTGAATCCTACTGCTCTGTGAGGATCCACTCTTCTGGATATGCTACAGATACCATCATGTGGTTGTGAAGGCACCAGCTCTGGAGTTAAGGGCCTGCAGGCAAATCCTGGCTGCACAGCCAAGCCATGTGAAGGCTAAGCAGCCTTCTGGGCCTCCCAGGGCCTTGGTTTCTTCATCTGCATGATGGGGCAATCCTATTGCCTGTATCACAGGTGGTTGAGAGGAAGAAGGAGCCCATATGTGTAGAAAGGGATAAGATTCAATAATGGTCAGTCTTTATTTCTCCTTAACTGCTCATACCTGAGCCAAGGAGGGCTTCTGCGTGGGATGGGAGTTAGGGAAGCCATAATGGAGCCCTTATACATTTGGTGCCTGATGGGGTCTGAGATGACCCACCTATCAGGGGTCCCAAGCAGTGGCCCAAGGGGATACAGGGTAGAACCTGCAGCACTTCTGGTTGGTCTTTTCTAGGCAGCAGGTTGGTTCTCACATGGCTCCTCACCATCTTTAGTCATAAACCTTACCAGGTTTGTCTTCTGCTTATTTTGACAACTTCTACAGAGAGAGCTGTGACAGAATAAAAGACAAGGAAAACACTTTTGACAGTGTGTGAAATAAATAGGCAAAAGTGTGTCTAATTTGGCCAAAGGTGCCCCATGAGCAGAGACGAATGGCTCCCATGAGGAGTGTTCACTGGGTGCTGGAGTGCTGGCTGCAGTTTCCTGCTCAACCTCCTGCTCCCATGCTGGTGGAGGGCGGCTTCACATGCACCCTCTACCCCTCCAGCAAGGTTTCTCACCCTGGAGTGGTGGGTGCTCGGGGATGATCTGCAGGGCTGAGACTACCACAGCCTCCAACTTCATGGGTCTCCCAGTGTGACCCTCAAGAGGCTGGCTCAAGAGGCTGCCAGGTGTGGCCAGCTCTCAGGAGCTACAATCAGCTCAAGTAGACAACTCAGCGAAACTGTCACACGAGTTACTGGGAGGGTCTCCTTGGAGCTCAGGAAAGTCACTACATCCACATGGTGGGCAGGGCACAGACTGTGCTGCTGTACACACATCCCTGCATGGCTTTATTCTGATCTAAAATAAGCATCCATTCTTCCCCCACTTCGTACACCTGCCTGGTCAGGGCTGCTCTGTGGTTGCCCTCTGGGGTGGCACATAGCACAAGCTGGGTGCACCACAGAGGCATTCACATTCATGTGGCACATCAGGCAGTTGTGGCCCCTCTTGGCAGCTCTCGTATGGCCATGTGACCTTCAGCTGGGTAAGTGAAGACCAGGGGCTGATGGGGTTTCGGGCCTCGCTGGGCTCAGAGAGGGCCAGGTGGGAGTAGTGGGCAGGCTGTTGTGGTCACCCAGCCATGTGACATGATTCCTCTGCAGCATCCAAGTGCAGACCGCAAAGGTACTAGAGCCAGGGAAGAAAGGATTGGGAGACAGTACAGGAGTTCTCTGCACATAGCAGACATTGGCCTTGGGAATGAGGAGAAAAGGACTGAGACACAGGCTGGGACAGCCCCAAGGCAGCTGCAGGCTAGGGTGGAAATCAGGAAGGAGGAGAGGCCGGAGCACAGAAGCAGGTGGGGGGAAGATACAGTGGAGGGAGAGGATGAGGGAGCCACAGAAGGTGCTGGAAGAGGATGGGCCAGGCTTTAGAAAAGTCAGTATACATGGAGACCTGCATGCTGTAGATATGAAGAGAAAGACAGAGAGGCAGAGACGATGGGAACAGCCAGGAGGTGGGGTGGGCTTGGGGTGCTGTGAGGGCCAGAGTGGCTCAGAGCACAGCTCTACCAAAGGTCAGCTGCCTGGCCCGGCCGTCCACCATCATGGATAAGGGTGCCCTTGTGAAGACTAAGGCTCTATTAGAGAGGCCCACATTCTACCTCCGTATTTTAAGAATGGCAGAGAGAGTGGCACAGAGGCTATAACCCCTGGGAGCATGGGTGGCCTTTGTTGCACAATTCCCAGTCGGCTGACGGTTAGGACACCCTCCACATCCATGTCTTTAGCAGCCTCTGAGTGGCCACTGGCTTCAGGGGGCAGAGTGGTTCATAGGAGAAAATCTCACCTGAACTTGAGACTTTACTTACTCACGGGGTGACGTCGACCCAGCAGGGAGACAGTCGTGCGCTCATCAACTTGCAGCAAACCCATTCAGGTAAGGAAAGCAGGTATACGTGTGCATTTACCCTTGTTCTCTCTTAAACCTGGCTAAAATGACAGATTTTAGGAAAAAATTGGCAAGAGCTTGGAGATGAAAGAGGAGACAACAATGCAATTTAGAAGCCAGAAAACTCACAGATGTAAAAGAAATGGCCTAGGAGACCCAAAACACTGAACTCTAGCCAGAGTATAGAAAGTTCAGAACCAACACAGTCCACATCTCAGAACCACAAGAACTGGCAGCACCAGATTCTGTTGGAGATGCAAGAAGACAACTGGTAGAAAAGTGTTTCGGGAGCCCTTCCCCAGAACTCCACCCAGACTCAGAGAGCCAGGCCAACACTCCCTCCCTCTTGATGAAACCTTGAGCTTACCCTCTGGAGATGGTAAACAGGAGGCTCTGCGGGATAGCAGAGAAAAATAAATCCTGAGAGCACATGCCTGTGACTCCAGACACTCTCTCCCAGCTCCCAGCAGGCTGGTGGCTCAGCCAGTGCTTCTAAGCAAAAAGTGAGAGAATCTTCTTGGGGGTGACCAGTTCACGCCATTATCAGGCTGTGGGACTGTGCAGCTTTCTAACATCATGGTAACAGCCTGACTCCCCTAGCAGGAACATCACAGCCCCCACCTCTCCAGCCAGCTCTCAGGCCCCCAGAATGACTTTCCATGAGGGGACACTTTAGAATCGATCTTGCTGACACCCACCCCAGCATCTGTCATGCTGACATGAGGGGGTACAACTCCAGGCCACTGATCTGCCTGTCACAAATGGGGCCTTGCTAAAGGGGACCCCCAGGAGCCCTTCCTCATAGTCACACAGGTTCTGCATAACCTGCTAGTGGGTGCTGGCACCTGCTCTGGCCCCCACAGCCAGCAGTTGGAGCCCTGAGGGCAGATCAAATGTCCTCCACAGCTGTTCTGGACCCTGTCTGACTACAACAGAGGGTGGAAACTGAGTCCAGAATTTCTAAGAATTTGTCAGTGAAGATGGACCCTTGTTTGCACGTCAGATGGATGCTCCGGGTCTACCACTGGGGCCAGATTCCAGGGAGGTCAAAAGCATGTTGACAGTTCAGGTTAAATGTGACTAGAAGCCCCAGTCCAAGTCATACTCTGGGCACTTTCATTCCTGTCACTAAAGAATGAAAATGAAAAAGGGGAGAAGTCACTTTTTTTTAAACTGGTTTGCATTGGCTTTTTGACCTTGTATACCAGCTTGAAAAAATCCATTGCTTTACATAACTGGGCAGTTCAAGGGTAGACTGCCTTCAGGCATGGCTGGGTCCATGAGTTCTAAAAACAATATCAGAGAGCTCTCTTTTCCTCCATGTCCACCTGTACTGTCCGCTCTGCCTCCTCCAGGATGTCCGAACTCTTTCCTACTACTGATGGATTCCTCCTCTAGCCAGGAGAGATAGCCCAGAACAGCCCCAGTTCCACACCCCCAAGTCTAACAACCTCAGCAGGAAAACATTTTCTCCCTGACCCTAGGAGAAGACTCCTGGGAAAAACTTCAATTTGCATATGACTGGTCATATGGGAAAAGGCAAGACAGAGTGACTTAGATCTTCTAGAAATGCTCATAAGCCGGGGGGAGGGTGGTTTCAAAAGGAGATATTGGCTAAGCTGACAGCAGGGGGGCCCCACTTATGATACCAAGGAGAGACCAGAGATGGAAGGGTCCCGCTCCTACCCATGCACTCCCAGAAGGGGGCACAACAGAGCTGACCAGGAACGGAGACAATGTCCTCCCCACAGACCACAGGACCGGCTCACAGTCAGAGTGGACTTTTATTAGGAAATCACCCTGCAAACACACCACGGAGTTCTGTGGGTTCAACACGTTTCCTGAGGAAGGAGGGTCACAGTATTGGAGCTGTCGGAGGGAGGGTTGGTGGCACAGCCTGTGAGCCTGGCGGCCAGCACTCCCTCAGCACAAGGCTCCGTCGCGAGAGCGGACACACAAACACTACATGAGAAACACGCCCAAGCATACACATCTGCGCTACACTTAAATAATCATAAATACAGAATTCCACTGGCTGTTATCTGTGCCTGAAACAAAAGGAACCCAAAAGGGAAAAAGAAAACAAAAATGTCTTTCTCTCCATTGGACTGAGGAAAAAAAATCCCCAAATTATCAAAATTACTCAGTTACAAAATACTTTTTTAAAAAATTCCATTATTAAAAGAATAAATAACAAAATATATAAAAAATAACTTGGTTGCCTCAAAATTATAACTAGGAGTTATATCAAGATTTTGTTGTGGCCTATATTACAGTCAAATAGTTATTTTTGCTTTGAATTCACTTTTTTCCCCTCTTATGGTGTCCTGGTATGGGGTCTAGTTGAAATAGTATAAAATTAATAAATAAAAATGTTAAATAAATAGCAAACGGTAACATAAGAGGTTGTGAATATAAATACTTACATCTTGACAAAATTAAATAATTTACAGAATAATTAAACTAACTACTTTTTAATTTTTTCCAGGAAGTGCAGTCTCTCTACTTTTAAATACTAACTTGGAATAGCAGTCACAATTGACTTGGATTCTATTTACAGAGTAACAATATTGTGTTTTTAACACATTAAATTAAAATTTACCCTTTTTTCACATATTGAATGGATCTAAAAGGAGTGAAACCTTGGTGGTCTCCTGTTAGGAATTTACCCTCTGACCCTGATGATGTCATCCCCACCTCCATCACCATGGATGCAGAGGTCAAGCTTGGCCACGGCCCGGATAATGTGGCAGTGATAGGTCAGGGGCCTGGGTGGACGCACAGAAGCCAGAGTCATCCCTGGACTTGGAGCCCAGACCCAGGGTCTAAAGGCTGCAGCCCCAGTAGGAGCTGTGACCCAAGGCCACACACACCTGCACAGCCTCAGTGCACCAGCTGCCCCCAGACATCAGGCTGATTTTCAGGAGTCTCCCAGGCTAAAATTCCTTGACTTGACAGCAGCTACGATGCTTTCCAACTGTCTGGAGTGTCCTCTGGGAGGCCTATTCCTAACTTTCCCTCAGGGACAGAGCTTTGTTCCACCCTTAACGCAAAACCGAATTAAATGGAAACAGAAAACACACTTGCTTCAGGGGCCTCACTGAGCACAGACACACTGCCCCGGGCACATCCTCCAGGCCAAGATGCCACTCAAATCACCCGCCCACCACGCTCACGGTTACCCTCCCAGCCTCGACAGACAAAGGAATACTGTGGTTGCAAACTCCAAAACTTCCCTGAGAACCTTGTCCATGAGCTTCCACTGGAGACTTTGAGCTGCTCTTCAGATTTCGTTCAGAAAACAAAAATAAATTACTTTGTAATTCTTCAGTGCCCCTATGCACAAGGATGGGGCTGCCGTGGCCCCAAGCCTAGAGGGACCATCATGGGAGAAGCCAATTTCCAGGCATCCCTTTGGATAAACCTGCCCGAGGCCACACCAGGCCACAAACAGGTAGTCACTGTGAGTTGGGAATCCCCACAGTGCAGGGTGGGGCAGGGGAGGTAAATGGTGTGGAGCGCTGGGAAACTCCTGGGTACCACTTGGCCTAGACCTGGATGCCCCTCACAGCCTGCTTGATGCTCTCCAGGAGGTCCTTGTTCTCCGGGTTCTGGTAGCACTCCTGGTTGGAGTACATGTCGGTGAGGGTGCTCACATAGGCATCGAAATTCTGTTCACAGATTGGCTCCTAGAGAACAGAACCAGGTTAGCAAGCCCCATCCATTCAGTGGGCGCCATGCCACAGAACCTGATGTGGGAGTGTGACCTATGTCCCCACGTGACCCAAGACAAGCCCATACCAGCTAGAGACAGCATTGGCTGCACTGTCCTCATGCTGAAACAACCACGCCTACTCCCCTCTGCAGCCAACCCAGAAGTAGCCTCTCTGCTGATGGAATCACCATTTTGCTTTGGATTCATCAGCTACTCAGGAGAGCTAAAGCCACCACAGCCAACATCCTGCCCAGGCCATTCGGGGTCGAGAGAATCTCCACAAGGGCACAGGACCCCTAAGGTGGGACCCAGAGGCAGAGGGGTGGGAGAGACCTGCCCTACTGCTTTCTGAAGAAACCCTGGGGGGTAGCCATGGTGCCCACAGGGCCGTGTGCTGCCTACCATATGTGGAAGGCGGATATTGGCGAGACTTTGGATGAGAGCCTGGCTCAGGCCGGACAGCTCCAGAAACAGGGCTTCATTCTGCTCCTCAATGAGTTTGTTCTCCTCCTCAATGTTCTTCAGGTTCTTCTCCATGGAGGAGATCTGTGCCAGAGACAGATTTGAGGTGCCACCCGTTCTTGGCCCCCATCCTCCTGGGGGTTCTCTCTGGGCTGCCTCTCACAACCTTCTAGGAGAATGCAAAACCCTCGGGTGGGGGAAGAGGCAGGGCCCCTGCCTTCCTGTAGGGGATCCTGCCACAGGTGAGGGACTGGCAGAGGAGAGGAAGGCAAGGGCCCTCTGAAACATGGCCTGGCTCCAGGGAAGCCAGGAAGGGGATGCAAGGACTGTGCCAGGGACTACCGTGGCATGTCTCTCCACCCTGTCTGTCCTGAGAGGATGGGGTGGGAGCACAGACTTCACAGCACCCTATCTCAATCTTGGACACCACCTGCTGTGGTCTTAGCTTCACCATGCTTCCTGCTGCTAGCTGTGAAGTGGGAATCACTGCACCCACCTCATGGGGTGTCAAACTGCCTTTGGGTCTTCTCCTCACCAGGAAGACCAACAAAGAGCTCCTCGGGGCCTCCCAAGCACGCCTTCCCCAGGCCGACTACAGGCAAGTCTTCCCTTTTGCGTCCAGGGATAGCCCCCAGGCTGACCGTCTATCTTCAGGGAGCCACAGAGGCAGAAACTAAACTCACAGGAAGACAGTGTGTGTGACACACGAGGCAGGAGTGGTGAGCTCCTTCCTGGGAAGCTGTGGATGGGGCCAAGCACGCTTCTTCCGCCACCTGGTGATAAGCATGTGGCTTTGAAATGGTTGCATGGGGGACAGGGACCTGCCTTCACTTTGCCTTCTGCAGAGGGTACCACTCGCCAAACTCCCTCAAAGGGACAGGCGCTTCTGAGTCCTTCCAAAGGGATGCTAGTAAAAGGTAATCATCTGTCCTTAAAAAGATTGGTTTCGGCAAATAAAGAGAAATCTAAGGTGCTATCCGAGGACACAGACACTGATGAGGGCCCTGAGGACTTTGAGAAGGGGAGGAGCAGGGGGCACAAAGTGGGACACCCACACTACACTCTGCATCTCCAGAGACACCATGAGGGGACGGGGACAGCCCTGCCAGGACAGCCACCCCTCCTTCCCTGCTGTCACTGCCTATGAACCCCGGGGGAGGGAGGCATCACCATGTGCATGACAGCAAAAACTCTTCCTGATCCCCGTGGGGTGAGGCTATCTTTACACAGGCTTTTGAGTAATAAGCAGTAATAAGTGGTCAGCGTGGGCCTGTTTGCCAGTAGAAACAAGAGCAGAGTAACAAGACACGTGGGGCTGGAATGTGTCACGCATATTCTGCAGCCTTGTTGGAAGCCGCCATCTCCCCATCTGTCCCTGCCCAGGGGGCTCTGCCCAAATTCCCTGTGGGGCCTGGTCCACACACTGATGAGTGCCCACTGCCCCAGCACTGCTGCAGACTCCACTCAGCAGCCACAGGTGAGGCATGCTCTTATTTTCAAAATAAGATCCTTACTGCTTTTTTTTTGTTTCTGATTACAAATGCTCATTTTAGGGAAATCATGAAATAGGACACAAACATTTAAAGTAATTTGTAATCCTGTTCCTCAGCAACAGCAGCTCTCATCGACCACACTTACTCTGGATCGGGTGCATATGCTAAATGTTTTCCTCATAGAAAAGCATGCATTGTACAATAACCGCCTGGAGTAGAATCCTTTTCTTAACTCCATTTTACGGAGGAAGTGACTGAGGAAGAGGCCGAAAGCTTTGCCAGGTCACTCAGCTGGTATGAGGCTGTGCTGGAGGAAACCTGGCTCCAGAGGCCCAGCAGAGGCACCAGCTCACAGACTGCTGGTGCTCACAAGACTAGTAACCCTAATGGGCCCCACTAGCCTTTACAGACTACTCATTCTAACGAGAGTAAAAGCGACAGTGCTGCTCATCTTAATGGGCCTACCAAAACTAACAGTATTATTAACCCTAACGAGACCACAGCCCTACCAGGACAACCAGCTCTGGCAGTCTGCCAGCATCACAGTGTGACCTCATAGACACTGCAGTGTGCGTGGCCAGCAAGTCCTAAGTGTGCCTGTGTGCCAGGCACTGCACTGTCCATTGGCTCAGCCCTGCTGATGGATGCCTCACTGTCCCCAGGATGAATGTTGGGGTTGGGAGAGCAAAGAGCCCAGGAGTGGGGAGCGGCACCACCCACCTGGGACTGCAGCTGCACCATGGCGGCCTCCATCTCCGAGTTGGACTCGTTCAGGTCTCGGATCTCCTGGTTCAGCTGCTTGATCTCTTCGTCATTCTCCAACACTGATCCAGAGAGAAACCTTAGTTGTGGCTCTGGGCCTCAGGCCTGAGCCAGAGTGGTGTAGGGAAGCCTGCTTTCTAGATGGAACTGAAACCCGCTGTGCAGCAGAGGTCCCCTCTCCTGGCTTTCTGACCTCATCTCTCTCTGGAGCTCATACACCACGCTACACGCTGGAGAAGTCTGTCTTGACAATTGTAAGATGAGTGTTTATAGTTTGCCTCCTGAGCTGGATGGCAGGTGGAAAGCCTTAAATCTCTTTGGGAGGTATTAATTGCCAAATTAAAGATGGAAGTTTGTTCAGGGGATGCTGAATTTCCTCACTTAAGTGGGAATGAGTCACACCTCTCCACAAACGCATAGCACATGGGCTCCATTGGACTCTGATCCCAGTGGTCAAAGCCACATGTTAGTGCAGTCATGATCTCTTGAGGGCCAAGGGTCCCAGACACAGGTGTCAAGAGCTTCAGTGTCAAGGTCCAAAATGCTCTCAGCTCAGGTCAAGGGATCTGCCTCAGCCTCATTCCAGGAGGGGCTTCATCTCTCTGCCTTCTTCCCAGCAGCACAAAAAGGTGCACAGTTCTCACTCACCCGGCACCCAGTCATGAGCAGGGAAATCCAGGAAGCCATCCTTACCATCGCTAGTCTTGAACTTTGGGGTGAGGACCTCATCCCCTGACAGTTTTCCCTTCTTTCCAGCAAATGTTGCTCTGGGACAGCCTGACAAACTGGAAGCAGAGGTCACATATCATTCACCAGTGTAGGGGTCACACACCAGAGCCAGTCCAGGGTCACCTACCAGAGCCAGACAAGGGTCACACACCATGATCAATCCCAGGGTCACATGCCAGGGCCAGCCCAGGGTCACACACCATGACCAGTCCAGGGTCACACACTATGGGCTAGTCTAGGGGTCAACATGGATAGTCTGGGGTCAGACACCATGACCAGCCCAGGGTCACACATTATGGGTTAATAGAAGGCATGTTCCCCCTTGCCTAGATCACCCAGAGGGCCTCCCTATGGCCAAACTGTGTTCTATGGGGAAAAAGAAGCTACTTCTAGGAGGGCAGAGGCTGGGAAGGAGACACTACAGAGCTCACCTCATCTGGCACAGCAATAGCTGACCCTGCCTGATACTCTGAGCAGGGCTCCCTCTGGGGTCTAAGGTCCACAGGACCCTCTTGCCAGCACTTTGCAGCCCTGACCTCCCAGAGGAGCCTGTCCCAGCTGACTTTGCCCCTGAGCTACCCACAGGATGTGGTGGTAATGACAGTCACCGATCACTCCTTAATGTAGATACTCAAGCAGTAAAATGCGTCAAAATGTGTCAATTCTCAGGCATGATTTCATTTAAGAAGTGATTGTATCCCCACTATAAGTAAAGGTTGAGGCAAGGTGGACTGTCCTTAGGAAGCCCAGAGTGAGTCTCCTCTGCCCACCTGAGACCAGCTGCGGTAGCTTCCTTTAGTGGCCTTCCTGCCAGTTGCCCACAACAGATTTAGTCTCTCCTCTGCCTCCTGCCAGGGCCCCTCACTCACAGTGAAAGCTGAATCCTTGCCAGCTGGCAGCCAGATAAGCCCCGGCTCAGAACTTCCTACCTCACCTCCTTTTGCTCCCTCTCCCTGGCTCCAGCTCCCGAGCTCCTCCAACCTTGTCAAGGGGGCCAGACTGTTCCCAGCTCCAGCCACTTGACTGAGGGCTTGTGTCCCAGACACCTCAGGCCAAGCTGCTACCTCCTTCTCAAAGAGGACTTCCTTGTCCTCTTCCCTGCTTCAGTTTTGCCCAGAGCAGACACCACCATTCACCATACTAAGTATTTTGCTTATTTATTTGTTTACAGGCTGTCCCCCCACCTACTCTGTCAAAAGCCACCATTCACCATACTAAGTACTTTACTTATTATTTGTTTGCTGAAGGGCTAGTTGTCATTTTTGTCTCTGCTCTCTCTCCAAGGCTAGGTATGTGGTGCAAAGGCTTTTGCTGAATGAATGAGTTAATTAATCTTGTAGGTAGAGAAAGGAAGGGAGAAGGGAGGGGAGGGGAAGAAAAAGAAGAGAGGAAGAGGGAAGGAAAGGGGAAGGTGAGGTGGGAGGGGAGAGGGAGAGGAAGAAGGGGAGGGAGTAAGGGGGGAAGGAAAGGAGAGGGCAGGTGGAGGAAAGATACGGGAGGGGAGGGGTAGGAGAAGGGAGGGTAAGAAGAGGGGAGAGGAGGGAAAAGGGAAGGGGGAGGGAAAGGGAAGGGGAGGGGAGGGGTAGGAGAGGGGTAGGAGAGGGAGGGGAGTCAGAGGGGGAGGGACAGGGAGAAGAGAGTGAGAGGAGAGGGGAGGAGAAGGGGAAGGGAGGGAGAAGGGAGGAGGGGAAGGAGGAGGGAAGGAGGGGAGGGGAGGGAACGAAGAGTCACATTGGCCCTAGGCCCAGACACAGGGTTTCTGATGGGACCAGGCACTTGTTGTCACCATAGGGCACAGACAGGAAGTCAGGGTGGTGAAGCAAGGTCTCTCAGCATGGGGCAGGTGTTGGAGGGCAGGTGAGACTTGGTGAATCCTGCCCAGGCTCACTGCCAGACAGTGAGGGGTCACAAGCTCCCTTGCAAAGCAGGCAGGAGTCTCTGCCCAGAGTTCAAAGAAGACACATGAATGGGAGGGCAGGGCATAAGGGTTAGGAAACAAACCTTTCCTAAGAAGTTGTCAGCCTGATAAGAGAACATGTCAGACCCAGGGCTCTGCTCATGTGTGGCCTCTGTGTCCAGCATGACACCCAGCCTGGAAGGGCTCCATCAGGATGTGGAAGGCTCATGATGGGAGACGCATGGCAAAGACACGGCCAACACCATCACCCGGCACCAACAGACCCTAACCCTGCCCCAGGCACTACCCATGTGGCCTTGCCTTTCCCTTGAGAAACTTGGGTCACACTGAGCCCTGGTCTGGCCCTCCCTCAGGAGCTTCAGCCCCAGCGCCCAGGTGAGGGTCCCCTCTGGGAGCACAGAGGGGCAGGGAGTGCAGGCACACTTACCTCCGGTGGGTAAGGAAACTCCCATTGGCATGGCCAGAGCCATCACAGCCCGGGGTGGGGCAGGTTGGGCCTTCGTTCTTCAGGGACTTCCAGGAGAACGATGAGCCATTGAGGGAACCTTCCTTCTGCCTCCGGGCGGCCAGTGGGCAGCCAGAGGCACTCCTGTGAGAGGCGTATTTTCCGCTGATGTGACCAAGCCCCACACAGCCTGGAACTGGGCACCTGGGCACAGAAAGGCCAGGATGAGTACAGTGGCGCCAGGGTTGGGAGGAGAAGCCTGGAGACCCTCCCAAGCCAGACATAAGGGAGCCCAACATCACACATTAAAGGACTTCCAAGTAAGGCAGGGAGGGCAGCTGAGGTCCTGGAGCCTCAGGGAAGAACCTGGCCCTTAATACGAAGGCCATGGGGCCATACTCCCTCTTCTGCTTTGGCCTCACAGCCCTTGCATGGCTGGAGTCTCCACAGCCACCTTCTTTCCCTGCCCTCCAGCAGCTGTGACCCTGGGCCTGGGGGCTGCCCTCAGGTTCACTCCAAGCCTTGCTGCTGGAGTCACTTCCATGTCACTCAGCAACGTGGAGCCATGTTGTCAGCTGAGCTCACCCAGTGGCCACTCCCCGGGAGCTTGCATCAAGCATAGACCTGGGGGCCTATGGATCACAATAGAATGACAAGGTACCCTAAGCAAGGGAGCTCAGGGACAGGAGGGGCCTGTCACCCCACAGCTCCCCAGCCTGAGGCCAGTGCAATCGGGGGGTGATGCCCATAGATGTTGCAGCTTTGCCACAACTGAGATCTATGTTCTAGAAGAAAGAACACAGACCTCATGTTGGGGAGACTCCGCTAGGGTATCCCACAGTCACTCCTGCCTGATGCCTGCCTTGAACCGTGTTTTCCTTTCCTTTCTTTGTTCTGAGTGTTCCAGGAGAGGGATAGAGGCCCTTATGAAAATAACATAGATTCAGACCGGCAAACGCCTTGGGCACAGTGTGAGCCAGAGACAAACAGGACAATGCAGATGGCCCAGGGCCACGACCTCTCTGAGTGTCTGTCCCCGCTGCCTCAGGGAAGGACCTGGACCAGGATTTGGGGATCTGAGGGACCAGGTCATCCAGGAACCCACGCCAGACCTAGGACAAGATCTTCAATCTGCAAAGTTCACTCTTCTCTCTCCAGCAAATGAAACTCATCCAAATTACCATCTGTCACACACTCACTGTGTGCTGAAGACCTGACAACACAGGACCCCACGAGAGGACACCACTTCTCCCTTTACCAGGAGCTCCACGGCAATCAGGGAAGTCAGGTCAGTGCAGGAAGCGCTCGGGACAGCGGTGGAGGCGGGGACGGGGGCGGGGTCCGCAGCAAAGGCTCCTGCTGCAGGGCTGAGATGGGGGCATGGGCTGCACTGCCCAGGGGAAGGTTGGCAAGGCCTGGACAGGAAGGGCAGCTTCCGACTCTTTGCCCCCACACTCTGGCCTCATCTCCAAAGCTGCCATTTTGGACCCTTCCCAGCCACCTTGGCCAGGGCCCTGCGTTCTCTCTCCCCACCGGCCCCTCTATTGGTTCTTTTCCTTTTATTACTCATCCCACCCACCCATCCCTCAGAAACACACAGGACATTCCCTGAGCCAGTCCAAGGTCATCTCATCCCTGTCCAGAGCAGAGACAATGCCAGGGGCCTCTATGGGGGCTTTGGCAAGTCCCCCTCAGATGGGGGTGTCCCCCTCAGATGGGGGTGCCTCCCAGCCATGGTGCCCTGAGGTGAGGGCCTGGGCTGAGAAGAGGAACTGGCCAAATGGGAGGTGGCTCTTCAGTCATCCCACAGTCAAATCTGAATTATTACTATTATTTTTTGAGATGGAGTCTCTCTCTTGTTGCCCAGGCTGAAGTGCAATGGCACCATCTTGGCTCACTGCAACCTCCGCCTCCCAGCTTCAAGCGATTCTCCTGCCTCAGCCTCTCAAGTAACAGGGATTACAGGCACCCACCACCACACCCGGCTAACCTTTATATTTTCAGTAGAGATGGGGTTTCCCCATGTTGACCAGGCTGGTCTGAAACTCCTGACCTCAGGTGATCCACCCACCTGGGCCTCCCAAAGTGCTGGGATGACAGGCGTGAGCCACTGTGCCTGACCCAAATCAGAATTATTTTTACTCCTTTTCTTGCAAAACACTACTCCCCTTCATCAAGAGAAACTGTTGCTGTTCCCTTGAGTCGCATACATGGAAGGTATTTCAGATTTCAGCTATGTTCCCTTTCTCACAACACGTGGTGTGGAAACTTCCAAGTCATCAGGGACATCATGTTAATACATGCTGGGGTGGGTGGGTGGCAGGCACTGAGCTGGTGTGGCCTCTGTGCTTCTTGGGTGACCTAGTGTTTCCTAGCACGTGTTGGGCTGCAGAAGCCGTGTGTGCCAGTGACATGAGAAACATGGCCAGGACCAGGAACCAGAGGTGCATTTCATTTGTTGGGTGTCTGTGTGGCCAGGGGCAGCATGGGCTCCCTGTAGGGATAGTGGGCAGGGCAGGGGGAGCATTCATTTCTTGACTCCCATGATGGAACCTCTGCAAGACTTACGACCAGTTATAAAGCTGTGGCAAAAGGATTTACCACAAAGTGCCTGATGTGACTTAATTTTGAATAGTGCAGGCGTGAGATGTCAGAAAAGGGAACTCTTGCTCCATCCAGCAGGCTCTCCAAATCACAGCTCACACACGCTGACAAAATCCCATCCTTCAGCATGACCTGACACATCTATTAAAGTTTCTGCTTTGATATGCATCGTTTAAAGATGCTAGGCAATTACAAATGCAGTTAAAGTTTATGGCTGGGGGTACGCAGACCCTGTAAAATGGGCGTGTCAAGTGGGCAGGTTCCCTCTGCCATGGAACCATTAGGAACTTCATCTCTCCTGCAAATGCTGAAGTGTTTCTGAAAGTCACAGTCTCCACTTGACTGCAGAACTCTTTTTTTTTTTTTAAAGCTAAGTTGACAGCACATTAGAAAGGAAGACCATTTATTTTTCCTGGTTAATTTGAAAAATGCTGATCTTGATTTTAATCATTTGCAAATGCAGCACAATTCACTTATAATATCCCTGCCAGCAGGATCCTTGCCAAATCCGTAAAGGTGTTGCACTTACATAATCATAGGCAAATTCCTGGATTCTCAGGGGCAAAATGCTTTTTACCCACCTCAGCATTTAGTATGCAGCCTTCATAGTACTAACAACTACACATTTTGCATTGTTAATTTAGCATTGATTACAGTTTTATTGCAAAAAATTAAATAACTAAACAAGCCACAGCCTATCATGCCAAACAGCTGGGGGGGCCATCCCCTTCTGAAGGATGTGACGTTGGCTGATCAGGCTCCTCCAGTGTGGCAGAGCAGATGTTTGGGCCCAGCTGGAGCAACCTACCAGGAGGAGCAACCCACTCTCAGGCAAATTGCCCCTCTCCAGGGGTGAGGTCTGGCTGCTCTTGGCCCAGCAGGTAACACAATCAGGGCAACCTGCTTCCTGTGGGCATGGTGGGGCCCTGTCCCCACCAAGCCAGCCCCAAGGCCCTGGGCAACAAGGTGTCCAGAGCCATCACTTCCACTGCTCACCTGCTGGGGAACTCACTGCCCATTTTGCCAGATGTCAACTCTGAAAGTACGTCAGTCCTGGGCAGACTGACCAGTTGGTCACCCAGTTCAAGTCTCTGGCAAAGCATTGCCCCCAACTACAAGTGGGCAGTGCAGGGAACCAGTTCCCTACTGGGAGAATAAGCTTGCAAGGACACAAACCCCCACCAAGTAGGGTAACACGCAGAGTCAGGGTTCAGGGTCCACCTATCAGCCCCCACCTTGCCCCAGTTAGAAGAGCAATAGAGGAGAGTCGTTTTGCCTCAAGGACTTGGGTCACTTAAGGCTGAGGATGTCCTCTTTCCTTCACCCAACAGTGTCTGGTTCCCAGTTTAGATCCTCCCAGGCTCTCTCAATCTACCAGTTCTCTGCATTGGTGTGTGGGTGGACGGACACATGGGATTCAAAGCTTTAACATCTTTCTAAGCATCCTCTACTCCTTGACTCTTGCATCTTACCTTTCCTGCCAGACCAAAGTCTTCAGGTTGCAAAGCCCTGGGGCCACCCTGAGGCCCTGGGTCCCACTCCCAGGTGGTCCTAAGACACAGATAGTGGGGTGCTCTGCTTCTCCCACCCCCATCAAATACTTCAGACCTGAGAAGCCCAGAGGATCTGCCACCCATGCCCTCCATACAACATCCAGTGTAAGGTCTGACTTGTGCCATAAACGGCATGGTAATCTCTGTGACCTGAACAACACCCCAGATGAGTTCCTGGAAGAAGCCATCAACCCCTGTGGAGCCTAACTAACCTGAGACATGCACTATTGTTTCTTATTCTGGCCTCAACTGACAAGGCCATTGGAGTTTGTAAGCAACCTTGGTCAACCTCTTGACTCCACACCCTACAACCCCCTCCCTCCCAGCTTGCAAAAAAAAACGTCAACTCTAACTTCCGTAACTTTCCACTGCCCACCCAAACCTATAAAACCAACTCCTATCCCACCACCCTTCGCTGGCTCCACTTTCGTCCTCAGCCCGCCCACATCCGGGTGAATAAACAGCCATGTTGCTCACACAAAGCCTGTTTGTGGGGGGGTCTCTTCAGTCAGAGTGCGTGCGTTTTAACATCAAGGGCTCACATCTTTGTAGGTACCAATGTGCAGGGTGTGAGAGCTTCCACAAAAAAGAATGTTGGCATTGATCAGTTTGGTGACCCGTCCGTATTAAAGAAAAGGGAATCCAGTAGAGGTTTTTTTACATTATAAAACACAGGAAAATCCCAATTCTGCAAAGCAACAAAAGAGCCAGCATGGCCCAACCTACTTCATCAGCTCGGGGTCCTCCTTGTCGTCCTTGGTGGGTGCCACCTTGACTCCACTTTTCTTTGCACGAGGGCAGCCAGACAAGCTGATTTTGAAAGAGGAAAAAAGGCCACCTTAGTATTAGAACAGCAGCTTCTCACACCCATTCATCTCATCCTCTCCCCTCAAGCTCTGTGACCCCAGGTGGGGGTGAGAGGGAGTGGGGACAACTGATGGATCAGTTGTAAGAAGCAGAATCCACAGACACAAAGCCTTCACACAAGGCAGAAGGATCGGAAATGAGAAGCATTGCCATGAGCTCCTAACCCTCACCCTTTGTCATTGTATCTTACTGCAGAGGACAATCTAATCAGGTTCTGGAAGCAGCAACAATTCAGATTAAAGAGATGAAAATGGACTCTAGCTGTCAGCAACATTAATGTCTTCTAATCTTCATCTAAGGAAAAGATTCCCTACCCACCCCTGAGGCCCAGGACCTGAGGGTATGGCAGGCTCACCTCCGGTGTGAAGCATAGTTCCCTGTAATGTGGCCAGAGCCATCACAGCCAGGCGTGGGGCACCTGCAGAAGAATGCAGAACTGGAACCAGAGCCCATGAAGATGTTTAGCCCCAGCCCAGAGCCCTGGGACCCCCAGAGGAAAGCCTTCTGGGCTCAGCCCTTGAGTGGGCCCATCCACATTTCTTGTCCACAGAAGAATGTCACCCATGTTCTCCCCAGCTGCCTGCTGCCAGCAACAGGGTGTCTGATGTGATCATCTCAGAGTTTTAGTACTTTGCTCCCCAGTCTCCCCAAGGGAGACCAGGAAGTCTGAGATGAGAGCAGCCAACTGCTGCTCCAGGATGGGTTTACACTGAGACACCCAAGCCGGGCACTGGGACAGGCCTCCAGGGTGCACTGCAGCCAAAGGACACGATGGGTTCCCAACTCAGACTTCTGTAGGGTCTAGGCTGGACTAGAGGCGTTCAGAACATATCTAAGCCATAACTTTAAGTATGAGAGCTCCAGATCCTAAGACCAGTTCATCTTCTTGGATAGGCTGGGAGCTGGCCCTCACCTAGGGTTGCCACCACAGGCTGGTAAATGAACAGAGGCTTTCTGCACACCTGCTGCATAGCAGATTGCGCGGGCCATGCCAAGCCTGGCTATTATGTAGCGTGACCGCAGAGTTCACACAGCCAGCGGAGATTAAGGAGGAGAAACACAAAACACAGAAGTCCAGCTTTATCTACCCAAAAATATTAGATGAATGTATCATATAAGGCAGTAAAATATCCCACTTTAATGTTACAAGCATGGATGTCATTTTCTTCCGAATGTCTACTGAGGAAAAAGATGTGAGTTCCTGCTGGTGTTGCAGAGTAGGAGGAGATGGCCTGATTCTGTGGTCAGATCCGTCTTCCATCAGGCCTGCTCTCTGCAACTCTCCTCACAGGCATCCTGACCCTGCAGGAGCCAGGCAGGAGGTCAGTGCTTGTGTCCAGATCACCTGCTACTCATGGGCACTTTGCTGGGGCGCTCAGACCCCAGGGAGGACATCCCACTTTCTGTACTGACGGCTCTTCCTTGCCAGTCTTCTACCAGAACACATGACACCTGGCCACTGGGCAGGATATCTCGCTTGGAGGAAGACAAAGCTGGGCACTGCCTGGCACCCAAAAGGCTATGACAGCACAGCAGAGTTGGCCCTATCTCCTGCAACCTTGTCTTCAACCCCTAGGAGTTTTCTCGGGGTTCCTCCTGGGGAGTCTCAAATTCCTTCATCCTCACCCCGTGGGCCACGCATTGGATACTTTGCTGTGCAGCCCAGAGAACCGAAGACAGCCTGCCTCTCCTTCCTGGGTTGGTGGCTGTTCAAGTGGCCACTTGGGGCTCCAACTCCTTGTGTCAGTGGCAGGAAAGCCGCGGGTAGAGCTTAGGGTCAGTGCGGTGGGCAAGTGGACACTCGGGTGGCTAGGGTGACAACCCACAGTGGCTGCAGGCCTCGATAGGGATAATAATAGCAGAGCAGATACTCCTGATGGCATCTGTGAGCAAGTCTCAGGTGGGGGTGTAACTCCCTCGGGGCCAGCAGGTACTAACACACATGAGGACACACTGCACTTCTCACTGAGGCCTGATTCAATGGCTTTTCTCAAGTTGTGTCCAAGAGAGGAAAGTGCTCACATAGTCAGAGGAGCAGGCCCCTTATGGCTCTGTGGACCCCCAAGGTCAGCTGCAAGAGTCCGGAGCCACCTTCACCACTCCCACTACCTGCTTCTGAGTGCCCCATCTGGGCAAAAAGGAGCGCCATGTCTGAGGAGCACCTCTGCCTTGGCAGTACACACCAGGTATCACCTCTCTAAGCCCCATCCCTGTGCTGTGGACAGACCTCCTTCACCCTGCACAGAGCCTGTCATGGCCAGGCAGGTATGTGGCTGCAACTCAACTCCCAGCGCAAGACGAGCTGAGTGGCCTGAGGCAGCCATGCCCTCTTAGCCCTGTGCCCAGTCCTTGACTTGGGATTCACTTAAAACACAGAAAACAGATCATCTGACTGTCTCTGCAGCCAGGTATAGATAGGGAGGTCATGAAAGGAACCTCATTTGCCCCAAGTCCACCCTCACCCATGGCTGCCACAAAGCTGATCACGAGGAGCCAGTGCCTGATGCCCCCTCAAACAGGAGGTGTCAGAGAGCAAGAAGTTTGGTACATCAGGACATGTGGGGGTACTACCACCATTGTCCCAAGTTCATGCAGTGGTCTGAGGGAGGAGAGGAAGTGGCCTCCCATGAAAAGTCCGCTGGGGGAGAGTGGAGTTTCTGAAGGAACCTGGAAGCCTGGGCTGCCAGCCCAATCCTTGCTGATGCTGATGAGTGATTCATTTTCACACATGGGAGACTTTTGGCCATTATTTCTAGAGTGTGGGTTAAAGTTCTTCACAGGTTCTTCATCTTAAAACAGCACCAACTCTCCCAGATAGCCATGTGTCCAGGCCCGGATGGTGCCAAGCTCCTTTCCATCAGGCCTGGGCATCCACTTTGCAGGACAGAAAGGAAGTTGTGACATTTGGGGCCACTGAGTGCATGCAGCCACACTTCTCGCTCTCAAATTATTCAGGCCCTCAAATGGGAACACCATGGAAACTAATCATAGAAAAGAAAATAGAACTGGAAAAGGAAGAAGGGATGCAACAGAAGAAAGAAAGAGGGAGAGAGGATAGTCCCAGAGGCTGCAGGACTGAGTGTTTCATCTCTGGGTTCCTAGGACTAGACAATGTGGGTGGGGCAGAATGAATGAATAAATTAATGAATGAATCTGCTGTGGTGATCTAAGCCTCAGAAAATGCTTATGTTGAAGCTATTAACTTCCAGAAAGGAAATTGAGATGGTGCACCCTGTCCCCATTTGTGGGAACTGAAGGGCCTGATGACACACTCCTCCTGGCTGCTGGGGCCAGACCAGCCTCCACTGAGGAACGGAGCCAAGGCTGCTGTTGGGAGACTCTAGGAGACCTATAGCTTTCTGTCCAGCTCTGAGCCAGCTAAGGTCCCTAGAAACCTTGAGCAATTTCATTTCCTTATCTTAGAGGCACCAGCGTCCAGGCTCCTGTCTGGTCCCAGAATGGAATGAGCCAGGGTGTGTTGGCCTAGAATCAGGGCCCCCAACAAAGAGGCCTGTGGTGGGGAGGGACACCCCTGGAGAGGGGTGACCTAAGGAGACAAGAATGAGACCCCCTTCCTCCAAGGCCTCAGCTCAGTCCCGGTGCCCAAGATGAGCTCCCCATGGCTCAGGGTCACACAGGCTGCAGAGTCACACAGCTCAACTGGAGGCATGAAAACCAAACGCAATAACAGTCCCTGACTCCGGCCCCAAGAGGACACTCATACCTGGAAACCTCTGAGTGCTTGCACGTGGCTGTGCAGGGCTGTCAAGCAGGCTAGCGTGTGCCTGCGGGGCCTGCCCTGCCCACGCATTATGGGCAGAGAGGTGCAGAAGCAGAAACAGGTGGGCCCAGCAAAGGGAAGGTATGGGCATGGAGGAGGGCATCAGGGCCAAAGCAGAAGCAGCCGGAGCATCACAGGAGGAGGGAGGCCAAGGAGCTTTCTCTTCATTATCATTTAGCAAGAGACGCACAGCCTGCGGCCTGTCGAGCCACGACAGGGCTTACATTTCTTGGCCGATTCTGGGCTTTTCCCAAATCTCTAGGGCAGTGGGAAAGCAGGCCCAGGCAGCCCTGTCGGGGGTCTTCAGGAGAGGCTGGAGGATGGGGGATGGGGCAAGGGCAGCACAGGAGCCTGCAGCAGCCCCCAGCCCCCAGTGGAGAGGCAAGTAACAGAGCTCAGAGCAGGGGGACACAGAGCAGCCCCAGCCAAGCAGAATCGGCCCCTCCATGGCCCTGCCCCTCTGCCCGTCTCAGGAGAGCCAGGGCTAGCTGAGGCTTGACACCTTGGAGAAGGCTGATTTTGGCAGGAGCCTCATGGAAGGAGAGCAAAGCGAGGGTGCCGCCCAAGAGACAGGAGGTCAGGGAGCGCAAACATACTTGAGGTCAGCAGAGTGGGCAGCCATGAGGTTTCTGAGGCTCTTGTCAGCAAGAGGGCAACCAGAGAGGCTGAAAGAGAAGAGATGGGATATTGGGGTAAGCCAAAGAGGGGGAGCAGAGGAGGAGAGGAGGAAGACCCACCACGAAGCACCCAGGCCAGGCCAGACCCGAGCGGGAGACAAACCTGCGGTGGGAGGCATAGTTCCCAGTGATGTGGCCACTGCCGTCACAGCCAGGGGTGGGACAGCTGGACAAAGGAAAAAGAGTGTCAGACCAGAGAGCAGTGTGTACCTGCAGGCCTGCCCCCTAGGCCGAGCCTGCTCTGGGAGGGCACTGGGGCCCACTCCTGGCTCACCCACAAGCTAAGCATGGCTCTTCCTCCCCTCTGTCCTTGAGGCACAGCCCATGCCTCTCAGACTAGAAGTTTCTTCCACACAACTTAACTCAAGAAGAAAAGATAACCAAATTAAAGTCGAGGTTAAAGTTAGGATGCCTCTGATGCACACCTGCTGTGTGTGCACATGTACATGCCCAAGAACATTGTGGGAAGGAGCTTCTTCCCTTTTCCAGGCCCTGAAGCAGCAAGGCCTTCTCTGGATCCAGCCATTCCCAGGAGGACAAGCCACAAGTATGAGGATACAAGTGAGGTTCCAGCTGGGGAGAAGAGAGACCCCAGAAATGGACACTGAGCACATGTGAGAGCTGGATCACCTGTGTGGCAGGTGCCAGGCACAGCCTCTGACAATCCCCTAGAGAGGTGGCTGGCAATGAAGGTTGACCAGAAGGTCACTGACATCTGACTTACATCCATCAGCAACTCTGTCTGCTCCAACCCCATGAGGACCAGCTCAGACACGCAGCATCAGGGCCAGCCAGGCTGACAGAGGTGAGTGTGGCAAGTCCTAAGGTAGTACATTCCAGGCCTTGGGCACGGAGCCCAAGGCAGAACATGCCCAGCTGCGGCCTCAGGGAGAGGGCCCGGCTCCTGGTTGCCCCGAGGGCTTCCTGTGAAGCTTTCTGCTGAACTCCTCCGCTCTCTCCCTGCTCTGCTCTGTCCTGCTTGGTGAGCTTGGCCAGGGCATTTCTTTGTTCTTAATCACTTTTAGAAGATTGCAGTAAAGCCCAGCACAGAGCAAAGGTGTTGGGAAGCCTCTGACTCCCCTGGCTCCTGTCGCAGGCTGCCTGGCTCAGGGTGGTCAGGACATGTTGGGGGAAGGCTGAGCAGACCTGGCCGCCATGGGTTGGGACCAGGGCCTGTTCCTCCCCAGGCCACAGAGGGTCCCTAGGAGTTGTGTCAGCCAAAGCAGAGACTTACGTGAGCAGCTCCTTCTTTATGTCCTTGGAGAGAAACTTCAGCTTAAAGTTGGTCAGGGTGACTTCCCCCGGATACTTCCGCTCCTCAAAATTCTCTTCTGACACTTCCTGGTCATCTGCTTCAGAAGAAGCAAAAGAATGGGCTGCTGGCTCTGACTGCAAAAAACCAGCAGGGAGATGTTTTAACCAGCTGGCGGGGAGGCCTGGGCGCCCAACCCGGTGGGCGAGGGAGAGGGACCCTTCAGGGCAGTGTCCACAGAAGCATTTCCCGGAGTCTCCTGTCTTCTGGATAAGGGAAGAAGGCATAACTCCCCCCAGCAAATGACAACCCTGAGGGGCTGGACTCCTCCCCACTTCAGCCAGAGCTCCTGAGCCACCCTAGAAACGAGGAGGCCTGGTGCTGCCCAGTGTGGCAGGCTCCTGACACCTTCCTTGGCCTCAGGTATGTGGGTCCCGCCACCATGTCACTCCACAGTGTAAACATCAGTATACAGTTCCCTTCAGAGCAAGCGAAGGCACTCAATAGACACCAGGCACTAAATAAGTGTTCCTGAAATGTCCTGAAGATGAGATGGAACAATGAGGGTAATAACACACAAATTACGAGGCTGGGTGCTGGGGCTCACGCCTGTAATCACAGCACTTTGGGAGGTCAGGGTGGGCGGATCACAAGGTCAGGAGTTTAACACCAGCCTGTCCAACATGGTGAAACCCCATCTCTACTAAAAATATAAAAATTAGCTGGGCGTGGTGGGGTGTGCCTGTAATCCCAGCTACTTGGGAGGCTGAAGCAGGAGAAACGCTTGAACCCGGGAGGCGGAGGTTGCGTTGAGCAGGGATCGTGCCACTGTACTCCAGCCTGGGCAATAAGAGCAAAACTCCGTCTCAAAAAAAAAAAAAAAATACAAATTACGATCACTACAGTGATCTTGACACCACCTGGCCTTGACCACAGTGGGTACTTGATAAAAGCTTCAAACGGAATGCTGGGTATGGACACTCAGGGCTCTGGACACAGGTAAGCAGGACACAATCCCTCCCACAGAGGGGCCTGGGGCCCATGAAGTGGCAGAAGGCCAACATTCTGCAGGATGCTGTAACCAGTGCTCAAATTCCAGTCCTGACAAGTACTCACATGTGTCCCAGGCAAGTGGCTCAGGCTCTTGGGGCCCAGATGCCACACTTTCAAACTTGAGATAACAGCAGCCCTTCATGGGTTTTTGGGGGGTCCAATGAGGAAATTCCCATGAAGCACACAGCCCAGCATAATAACAGTATTTGGATAATTGGGAGCGGACCTTGTTGTGGGCTCCCAGGCTGCTCCTCTATAAAATTGGGTAATTGTGAGGCCCACCTGAGGGTGGGATGAGGGCCAGTGAGGAATTCTGGCTCCCACTGAGGCCGGATTATGGAGGGGGCCTGACCCAGCCCCCACCCTTCATAGGGCCCTAGCCCCAGCTCCCTCATTCCTCCTTGGGGGTCTGGCCCTGCTCCTTCCACAGGGACCCCTTCCACCTTCTGAGGGGCTTGCAAGGAGGGGAAGGAGAGAGAAAGGGGCCTGCTAGTCTCACAGATGCAGCTGGTACCCGCCTAGACCCTGGGCTGCCCTCAGAGCTGGACTTTGCCCTTCAAGACACACGTCTCCTGGAAGAAGCCCAGAATTCCCTTGGCTCTGAGGGCTTTTCTTTCATGTTCTAAGGAACAACTAAAAAGGGAAGGACCCCCTGCTTCCCAGACCACAGTTCTGACACCTACGCCAGGTTGGTCCAGTGTCAGAGACCTGTCACTGCCCACCATGGAAGATTCTAAGCCCAGGACCCCTGAGCCAGGAGTTCTCTCATGGGCTCAGCCCAAGGAGCCAAGTGGCTGGGCCCTTAACTGGACAGCAGGTCAGCTCTGCAGGGTGCCAGGAGGCTCGAAACCCAAGCTTTTCCCCAATCAGCTCCTGGGATCTGAAGGATACCCTTCTCCTCCCCATGCTTCCAGAATGCCCACGTTGGTACTGGCCACCATGCTCCACAGGGGGTGAGAAGACCACCTCCTTCTCTACAGACAAGGCGACAGCATGGCCCTGCTGCGAAGATGCCACCCAGAGGATGGGCCCCTGAGTCCCAGCTGCTCAGAAGATGAAGGGCTCTTCATAGAAAGTGATGGCTCCCCCAGAGGCTCTGCAGGAAGCCTGAGAGGAGGAGCTGCCTTGAGAAGCCAATGGTACAATAGCCTCAGGCAGGGCAAGCTGGCTGCAGCCGCCTGACTGCTCGCCCGGGCGCCCTGCACCCACCTCCTCAGGCTCCTCCTCTCTCAGGCGGCTGGGCTTGGTGTAGTCCAGGGGCCGGTCCCACTCGTCCTGGCGGGAGGCCTGGCTGGACTGGGGAGAGGTCATGGAGCTGTTGGGGGCGCTGGTGCTGCTCTGGCGCTGAGAGGGGTCGGGAGACTTGACGCCAGGGCTGCTGCTGCAGCTGCTGCTGCTGGGGAAAGCGTTTTCTCGTCTGCGGTGTTTGTGCATACTCAAGTCCAGGGTTCCATTTTCATCTACCTCAATATCCACAGACTGTAATTGCAAAGGTGAAATCTGTTAGATTCCAGCCCCGTTCCGTGCGTGCTTTCCATACATTTTAATCAAATACACAGAGTCCAGAACACTGATTCCCATATAAGGAAACAGAACAAGAATAGACAGGCAGTGAGAGAAAAAAATCCAACTGCCATTTCTTTATTTGCCATGAAGGAAGCCCTACAATTCCTCTTGCCTCCCAACAGCACAAAAACCAATCCCCTGAGACATGTCATAAACCAGGGGAAAACTGGGTCCTCTGATCAAGGAGATGGTGTCAGCAACCAGAAGACTCTGCGGGAAACATACATCAACAGGGCACGTGTACCACCCTGGACTCAGAAGGAAACGCACAGGAATGTGTGTACACCACCCTCAGGCCCAGAGTGAGATGCATGGAAGTACAGGGCGGGCTCAACCTCACGCTCAGAGGGAAGCACGTGGGAGCGTGTGCCCACAGCCCCTGGTCTCCCTTCACTCAGCGCAAGGGTTCTCTTGGTGCACCCCTCCAACAACCTCTGCAGTCCTTGGGTCGTGGCAAGGAGGGAGAAAAGAAAGAATGAGAATTGACAACTAGACACTAGCCATTCCTAGGGACATTTTGTGCAGGTGCGGATAGGCCTGACTGCAATTCCACCAACTCACCTTTCCAAAGAAAGGCTCTGTACGGATGCACTAACCTTGCTAGGCAGGTCCTGTGGCTTCATGCTGAGGTTCTCAGGCCTCTCCCAGCAGCGCGTGGAGAGGTTCAGGATGGCGGTGGCGGCCATGTGTGCGGCTTCGGCATCGTGCGAATAGTCAAAGCCTGCAGAAGAGGATGAAGTGCTCCTCACATAACTACTGGAGGGGCTGTGCCTGGGGGAAGAGGCCTTTAGGAAAGGTTTAGCTGCAAAAAGGGAACAACACCAGGCTGATACACAACTTGAAAAGAGGCAGCAATGCAGACAAGTCAGTGGGGAGGGAGACTTTGGGAGGGATGGGAGGGCCCAGGGCACAGCTGTCGAAGTTAGCCAGGGGCTTGGCCACCCATGCCACTCCCAGGCCCTCACATACCTCACTCCCACCCACCCTCCTTCAGAAGACAATCTCATTTCTGGCTCAATGAAAATGTGGGCAGAAAGATTAAAAGTCTCCAAGACATGCCAGCAGCCCTGATATTTCAAACAAAAATAACTTGTCTATCAGAAACTAAAGCATTCTGTGGATAAGATAAGTGTTCTGCCACATCCCCCAAATGGGCATTTTGTCACATCATCTCAAAAGGGTGTACTCATATTTAGGCTGACTTGGTGTCCCCAGTAACCGTCACTGATTGCTCAAATGAACATGACAAATGAAGGCATGGAATGTCATCTTTTCTAGTAATTGTACCGTAGCCACAAAATCATTCTCAAACACGATGTTCTCAGTAATCATGATGTCACCAGTATATCCAGAAAGGTCTAGATATATGGAAAACTAGTGGTGCGGTCCCCTCTCCACTGGCACCATTGCATTCCTGCACCCAAGCAGGCATGTGTGTGCCCAGAGGCAGGAACCATCCTAACGAGCAGCAGGTTCTGTCAAAGCTAGGAAGAGAGGCTCACACCCCACTGGCAGCTGCATCAATCAGTACTTTTATTATTCTCATGTAGGAAACTCGTCACTGTCAGGTTTGGGGCTGACCATCTGCCACAAGATGCCACTCCCAATCTCATGTGTACAGGCCACGCTTTTCCATTTCACCAGCATTTCTAGGGCTAATGGGCTTATTCCACAAATTAGGGCCGTAAGTGACAAGAAAAGACTGAAAGGATTGTTCTCAACGATTTGTAGAAATGATTCTGTTCAGTACAATTACCCAGAAAATGTGTTACTAATGTCACAAACAACACATTGTATCCAGTAAGTTGCCCCACCAGGAAAGCAATGGCTTCCTGCCAGGATACTGGCCCCGCCCAGAGGCAGTGTGGGAAATGGACACCAGCTGCATTGGGATTAAACAGGTTGCATGAGGACAGTGGGGAGAGGGGGATCTCCCAGGGTGAACCATGTTGGTGAAGTTGCTCTGGTCTTTGGACATACAGGCCCATAACAGATCTGGATTTTGTTTCACAAATAATTAGGAGACACATAAATGTTAACGGTGAACATGAAGGTGGCAGCATGATTGAGATGCAGGCCCCAAAAAAAGCTACCACAGTGCCCACTGAGACAGCTAACACCTCCAGCCTGCATCGTGGTCCCCCCATGAGAGTAGAGATTCCCTCCCTACTAGCTCCTTGAGAGCGTCCCTCCTCCACTGCCCCCTGAATCCTGCCCCTCCCAGGGGCAACGCAGAAGAGAAACAAGAACAATTCTCCCCAACTTACATTGGAAGGCTTTAGGTGAGGTTTCGCTGGTCTGAATCTTTGGGGCAAGCATGCGTTTGCCAAAAACCTGAGCATCGAAACTTGCGTAGTCAAAGGTGACCTTGGAGAACTTCTCCAGCTCCTTAGCCAAGTTGGCCCTGGGCGTGGTGGGGGCCACGTTGGGCCGGTAGCTCCCATATGGAGGGACCTCGAGCTGTTTCACGAAGCACATGGGCCTGGAGTGCAGTACAGGGATGCACAGCCAGTGAGATGGGAGCTGGGGTTCCCATGCCACCCTCCCCAACTCCAATTCACAGCCGAGGCAGGGGCTTCACAGCATCTAGTGAGGAAGGAGACTCGGGGAGGCACTCGCCTGCACTGTCTGCCACTGAAGCTGGGCAGAGTTCCACCTCCCAGGGTCAAGGGCTCTCAGAGCAGTCCTGTGAAGAATTGCCTACAGTGCGGAAGCAATAGGACTCTCGGCCTGTTCTGCTGATGGCATCAGCTAGAGGTGGGAGGACCTCAGATTTTCCCCAGAACTTAGGAGAGCAGGTTTCAAACAGCTCAGCTACAGCTGGAGTGAGGACTGGGCGGGAGCCATACATGGCGAAGCCCAGGCCAGCAGCGAGCCCCTTCAAGGCAGAGTAACCTAGAACTCCCCAGTGAGGAGGAAGTCGAGGAATCTGAGGAGACAACCACGAGACTGAGGAGCCATGTCAGGTACATTTCTGAGGAGTGGGCTTAGGGCCAGGCCTGACCCTTCTTCACTCAGCCAGGGACTCAGCCCTCAGCTGTCCTCTTCTTAAAGCCATGTTGACGTGGACCCTCAAGGAACTGCTGGGCGGGTTAATGACAGCCATGAAAAGGCTACTACGAGCACTCAGTTCACGGCCACTAACGCTCTTGGAAGACTTCAGGATTTTACAAGCACAAAAGATGGCATGAAGAAACTGGCCCAGAAGGCAAGGAGGCGGGAAGACTGGTGGTAGATGCTGGGGACCACAAAGGCACAGAGGGGCTTCTGAACCTGGCAACTCAGAGGAGAGGTGGTCCCGGCAAGCAGCCATGGCTTTCTTGGTTCCTGTCTGGACCAAGCAATGACTTCCATCTGGAAAGTGTGCAATCAGTGAAATTAAGAAGGAGCTAACAGTGGCAGCGTCCAAGGTTCTGGGTTCTATGAGAACTTAAGTGTGGACTAAGAACACAGCCCAGCACAGAGGAACTCCAGACCAGCCCTGCAACCATGACCAGCTGTGATGGGCCTGGGAAAACCGAACCCTACCAGGAATGGGTGTGTTCTCCTTCTCTAGGAAGGGTGGGAGCCCCGGGATGGACCCTGGCCCTGGTGGCAGAGAGAAAAATTGCTAAGAGTGAGGCCAGGAGGGAAAAAACTAACTTTAAACTTAACACTGGGTCAGGTGCGGTGGCTTATGTCTATGATCCAAGCACTTTGTGAGGCCAAGACAGGTCTCTTGAAGCCAGGAGTAAGAGACCAGCTCGGGCAACACAGTGAGACCCTCTCTACAAAAAATCCTAACATAATAGCCAGGCATGGTGGCACATCTGTACTCCCTGCTACCCAGGAGTCTGAGGTCACAGGATGACTTGAGACCAGGAGTTTGAGGTTACGTTGAGTTATGATTGTGGGCACCACTGACTCTAGCCTGGGCAACAGAGTAAGACTCTACCACTAAAAATAATAATAATAAACTTAACGCTGGGACCACTTTCGATGGCTTCCTTGTCCAAGGCTTCTGTCAGAATCTGCAGACTGATTGTCTGCAATGCCAACGAAGCTTTGCAAAGCCTGTCCTCACACCCGAAGTTCAACAACCAGAAATGTGGGCTAGGTAGAATCAACAGAGCCTAATGGGAGGCCTACTCCACCCTAGCCACAGTCTCTAGCATTCAGTGAGTATTCACCACAGGCTGAGGGCAGCAGGGTGTCACTTGAGCCTCATGAGAGCGACTTAGTTTGTTGTCCAACTTTTATAAGTGAACAAACTGAGGTCCTAGTCTCAGGAAGTGCAGTCTCCAAGGTTGGAGCCTGTTTGACACCCCTTCCTGGCCTCACCTGGCCTCACACGGGGACCAAATCTGTGGTTTGACATTTTATCGGTGATTTTGATCAAAAAGGGTAAGGATCGAATTAGCAACTGACAAGAAGCTGGAGGGAATGGCAGACAAGATAGAAAAAGCAGCTTCGAACCATAGTGAGAGCCAGCTGGCGGAAAGCAGCCTGCTGGGACCTGCAGGGCTAAAGGTGCCCCATGGGTGGGATGGCAAGTATGCCCATACAGCAGGAAGGCAGTCTCTGTCCTCCACCCAGAGATCCCACGTGTGGGAATTGCACCTTCAGAGGAACCCTCTGGAGCAGGCCAGGGAAGGGCCTGGGTATGACACAGCCAGGGCCAGTAGCCAAGGTCATCTGGCTACGGCTTTGCCAATTACGTGCCAGGGAGGGACCGGGTCAGGTGGGCCCTAAAAGGAGGCGGACGGGTGGAAGGGGCTACGCAGTCATTCACACTCACCCCAGCCAGGGTCTCCCACACTCTCATTTGGTGAAACAGACATGGAACAGGGGTCTGAGAACTGGGGAGGAGGAGCTGTGTATGAGTTCTAGGTCCTCAGGGAAGTGGGGAGCAATGTCTGCTGGGTGAGGACAGCAGGTCGAAGGAGCAGGTGGAAGTGTCCTCTTTGACACTGAGTACCTCAGGTCCAAGGACTCAGAGGGGACACTTTGAAGCAGGCAGGCTGGGCAGACTGGCCTTGGGCAAGTCTCTGAACCTCTGGCACTTATTCTTAGAGCCACATGGAAGGAGGGGACACTAATCAGACACATTCTGAATGGTCCTTAGTGATGAGAGCCAAATATACACATGCACACACACACACACAGACTTGCACTCACATGCTCCCACATGCTCACACACACTCCCACACACTCACACATGCTCACACCTACTGCTATCTCAGAACCTCCAGGGCCACACTCTGGGGAGCAAGGCCTGCACCCGCCCCTCTTCCTTGACTTGGGGTCTATCTCTGGGGTCGGGGAGGGAGAGGCAGGACAACCAGGGATTAGTGGCTCATGGTGCTTCTTGGACAGCCATGGTCCTTGGCTGGTGCAGTCTGCTCTCTCCAGACAGGACCAGCATCTCCACAAATGAATCCCCAAGTAGCCTTAAGTGAGCACCTCAGACGACTCTGAGGAGGCAGAGCACCACGTCCAAGGTAGAGGCAGCTGTGCAGGAGTTTGTGCTTTGGCTGAGGCACTGGTGAACATGGCAGACATGAGACTCTGTCCTGTGTGCCCCCAAAACGGCCCCACAGTTCTCTTCCTGGGGGGCCTGGGGCATGTACACACTCACATGCACATACATCCTGGGGGAGACTGAGGAGCCCCCTGCAGGCATCTGGGAGGCAGCTCTTCAGTTCTGTGGCTCATCTCACTCACCTGAGGATGCGATCAGAATTGGAGCTATTCTTGGAAGGATCTGCTGTCTGCGGCTGCTGCTTCTCATGGGATTTGGCTAATTTTTCAGCGGCAGCAATGGGACACCCAGACAAACTAGAGGAAGAAAAAGGAGGGGTATCTGAGCCTTGCCCTCCACACCTGTCCTGTCCTGGGTGTCTCTGTGTGTATTGGTGTCTCACAGCAAGGTTATTCAGATGTGAGAACTCCAGGTGTGCAAGAAGCCCAGAGCTGGGAATAATTCTGTCTTTCTGCAGGACAGGGCTTTTCTCTCTGGCTCTGCCCTTGAGCCCTCAAAGTACAAGCTGCCCAGTCAGTTTCTGTTTTAGAACATTCTACGCCAATGACCACAAAGATGAAATATATCCTAAAGGCCTTGAAAGCTCTGGGCAAAGATGCCTCCTCTGCATGGGTCTGGGTGACAGGCTTGCCCCTCACCCACTTCCTCTCCCTCCCCAGCTTCCGGGGCAGGATTCTGCAACCATCTCTGGCTCTTGTTCCATTAGCTGCCCCAGGGCAGCCCAGGGCCTCACTTGGACCACAACGTGGGCACTGACCCTGGAAGACTCACGCCCAGGAAAGTACTCGGTCTAAGACATGGAGGCAGCAGCTTCATCTGTCAGAATTAAGCAACTGTGAGCTCCAGTGCCAGGCCCCCAGCCAGCCTGGGGAGGTGACGTAATGGGGAATTGGCCTCTTTTCAAACGAAGTGACCTCAAAAGCTCTGGCAGTCCTTTCAGCTGAGCATATGCCTGCTGGGGCAAAGGCACATCCCACTAAGACCATGGCCACCCATGGCACTCTGGGTAAGGCTGGGGGAGTAGTCCCCCCTCACCACAGAAGACCAGCCAACATCTATATCTCGAGGGTGGTCTGGAAGCTTCAGGTCCACCTGGGCCTCAGAATTCCCACAAAGCAGCCCAGAGCACAGCCCTGGCCTGCCGAGGTTACTGCTTGTGTCTGTCCTTTCCACTCGTGAGCAACAGCCAGTGGACAGAGGTTTTCTGAATGTGGCCAGGATACAAACCATTCACCAGGCTCTCCACGTGGTCACTGCACCTCTCTTCACGGAGGGTGCATGCTCACTCCTAGGCAGGCCGCCCCCTGCTCTCCTGGGACCCCAGCTCACAGGGGTGTGGGCAGCAGCACCCCTGGGTGACTGTGCCTCCAGCTGCTGCTCTGCCACGGCAAGGCCCCTCACATCCCAGGTGTGCCCCAACCTTATACCCACTCCTCAGGGCAGCAGCACAGAGGGAGCTACCTGGCAGGCCAGATCCCAATCCCATGTCATGGCTCAATGCCCAGGCAGAGACACACAGGCCCAACCCAGGTGCCCTATCACACATGGGCCCCCACCAAGGCCCCACATGGCCCACCGTGGCCCAGCTCAGTCCAAGTACCTTCTGTGCGTGTTGCGGTTGCTGTTCACGTGACCTTGGCCCGTGCAGCCAGGAGTAGGGCACTTCAGCACGTTCTCATGCATGGCTAAGACTGAAAGAGAACCGGGGGTGGAGGGAGCCAAAGTTGTCAGAGAATCTGGGGAGCACCAGCTGTGTGTGGGGGGACCTTGAGCCGAGAAGGATGCAGGAGCCCTGTCCAAAGGCTGCTGCTTGGTAGGCAGTTGGGGAACACAGCAACTTAGGGCAGCAACACAGGGCAGCTCCAGCCCCCAAGAGCCTGCAGACATGCACACCCCCACCAGGTCAGGTTATGCCCCCCACCACTATGTTCCCTCCCTCCTGTGACAGAAGCCAGATTCAGCTTTTAAACCTTTCATTAATTTAATTTTCACAATTACTGCTTCTAGCCTAAAACTAAGAACAAGTAATTGCTTCTAAGCTTTCAGAGCACAGAGGTTGCTGCAAGAACTCTACCTTCCCCACTTAGCTGGCACTAGCCTGTCCCCTCCCATCGATCTGGAACTGTGACCCAGGTTGCAGGGCCCCAGCCTCAGAGGGCTCAAGTTTGAGCTGAGGCAGTTTGTGGGCAGCAGGGGGTATGTGGGTGGAAGACATAAGGATGAGCATCTGGACAAACCAAAGGGACAGGTTATGGCCCAGGGCAGGCCACGCCTCCCACAGATACCACCCAAACACCACAGAGGCAGCCTTAGCTTCACAGTTAGGGCTAATGCTGCACAGGGCTACTCACTCTCTGGGGGGATCCTATCCTTGTGGGGACAGCCAGAAAGGCTGCGGTGGTGAGGGTACAAGCCGGTAACATGGCCAGTGCCATCACAGCCTGGCGTGGGACACTTGATCTCACGCTTCTCAGCTCTTGATGGATCTAAAACACACAAGTTGCATCAGTTAGAGCCAGGAAGCTGGGTGGTAAGCAGGGAGGGGCAGGGGTAGCTCATGAACCCTCTCTCTGCCTGTCCAGAGAGAAGGGAAGCAAGACTGCCGGTGAGCTTGAACAGGGACTGGGGCTGGGCAGTGAGGTGACCCTGAAGAGACCACCCTGACTATCCCAAATAACAGGATGTGCAGTATTCTAAGGAGAGCAACCCACAGGGCAGCTGCCAGCCTCTTTCCTCTCTCCTCTGACAGTGCAGGGGGCCTCCAGGTTCAGCCTTCTGCCTAGAGAGGTCAAGGCGTTTGACAATATTCCTGCCAGGAGATATCCTGGGATTTGCAAAAAGAGGACAAAGGGGTTCAGTAACTCACCCAAGGCTGCATGACTAATGTACGCCTGGGCAGAAACTTAAACCCAAATCTCAGTTATTGACTTCGTCTAGCCCTGCAAGCCCAGGCTGGTCACTGTAGGGACCAGCAGGAACACAGAGGACCCTCAGAGCAGAGCTGACGTCTCAGTGAAACACCTTCTAGACGCGCTGTCCCCTTTGGGAGGGTACAGAGGTCACAGAGCCAAACTCAGAGCCCCCACCCTAGAGGGGAAGGCCCCAGCAGTGGACTCCAAAGGGAAGGAGCCCTTGCTCTGCTGCCTCAAGTTCAAGGGAGCAGAAAGTCAGACTTCCACCCATGTGGACAGGCAGGGGTGTCCTGAAGGGCTTCAAATCCGTGCCCAACATCTGTCTCCTGGGTTTGCCACCTTGTCCCCAGCCTCTGTCCAGAATTCTCACTGCAGCTATGTCCTCAGTCCTCAGAGGCAGTCCCACACATTCACGTTGCACAAACACAGCCCAACTCAGCTCTGCCTGGTGTTCTCAGCCTGGCCACTTGTGTCACCGAGCCTGTGTCCCTTTGGGTCCAAGCACTGAAAATCTATTCCCGAAGGCAGAAAACTTGCTGGGTCCCCCTATGTCTGTCCCACAGGTCTGAGACCCTCAAACATCTGGGCCTAGGGCTGTCACCTGATGTCTGTGTTCCTTACATGTATCCCACAAAATTCTGCCCTGAGCTGTGGGGCCCAAGCTAGTAACCACACCGGGCCCATGCCACCTGTCCCTAAGTCTCACTTGCAGCCTGTGTCTCCTTGTGCCCATGGCCACACAAGGTCACAGCCTGACAGTGCTGACCTAAATCTGGGTCCCCAAAGAGCTGTCCCGCAGTCTGTGTTGCCCTAAAGGGTCTCCCCTCAAGGCCATCCTTGGGTCCATCTCACCCTGAAACCACGTCCCTACCTGTGACCCCTTAGTGTCTTTCCCCTGAGCTTGTCTCTTACGCATGGGGGTTCCCAGAAAATACACCCCTCACATCTCCACTGGCCCGGCTGTCATGCCCCTTGAGTTACATCTCACTCAAGTCTGTCTCTCCCATGTCCCAAGTGCACCTGCCCAGGGTTGGCCCCGAGTCTGTGTCTCCTCCATTTTTGGTTTCTGGCTCCAGCACCTGAGTCCTTTCCCAGCCCAGTTCTCTCTCCTTATCTGCTCCCGACCTGGTCTCAGCTCACCCTTCCAAGGGGAGGGGACTCTTGGAAGAGCACTGAGAACTCCCACTGCCCCTGTCCACCTGGAGAAGACATGAAGAACTGGAATCAGGGAAAAGAGACCGAGGTCAGGGCAGCTCCAGTCTCAAGAGAGCAGAGGCCAGGTGCCCACCTGCAGGAGGCCCCCTGTGCCAGGCCCAGTGGGCCAAAGCTGACCTGTCCAAGGCCTGGCCTCACTGGCATGGCTCACCAAGGGAGCAGCCCCTGGCCAGCCCTGAAGCCTGCACCCCAGACTCCTGTCCCAAGGAGGAATCTGAGGTGGGCAGTCTGCAGAGCAGAGCCAGCCTGTTGTCCAGACCCTGACACCCCAGTAACAATGAAGGCCACAACCATTTACTCAGAATCCATCCTCAGACCTCAGCACTCCAAGCTCCCAGTTGCTCCCCAACCACTTCCGCCCGGCCCCAGGCCACTCCCAGCAGCCCTCCTTGCCTATCCTCACCTCAACATTAGGCACTCAGTATGGCAAGGGATGCCTCCCCTATGCCCTGCATGCTTTAGGGCCAAATCCAGAGGCAGATGCAGAGCCAGTGGCAGGCTGCTCCCACTGAGGAGCAAGGGCACCCCTCTCATCTGCCTGCAGGTCTCCACCCAACAAGAGGGTCAGGAAGACCCAGCGTGGCTGTCGGAAACAGCGGGCTCTGTCACAGCACAAACCCTGCCACAAGTGTGTGCCAGGGTGGAAGGGACAGGACAGTCTCCACCCTCTCCAGACAGCAGATGGTGCTGTGACCAGTCACTGCATTGGGTCACCGTCTCTCCCACCTGGTTCTTTCTCACACATCTCAGCTCTGCGTCTCTCTCCAGACTGCTTTACATACAGCAGTGTAGGAGCCCATTTGCTCAGTATCTGACCACAGTCTGTGTAATGTATTTGTCCCTTTGTCTGCTTTTCTGCCTTCCCCCAGTCCCCTGTCCTGTAAGGCCTCTCAGCTGCATCTGCACACCTGGGGCGGGGTGAAAGGATGAGTGTGCAGGACCAGGCCACCCCTGACCCCTACCTTTACTGTAGTAGCTCTTCCGCACAGTGTCCAGGGGCTTTGCTGCTTTCCCTGGCTCTGCCAGGCCCAGCTTGCTCTGCTCGGCAGGCAGGCAGCCCGGCTCACAGACTGTGCGCACCTGCTCAGCCTTCAGAGCAATGGCCTGCTCCAGGAGGCCCAGGTTTCCCCGGGTCATCATGTCATGCATTTCCGACTCATCAGTGACTGTTGACTTCTGGGAGTGGGTGTCCTCGTCCTTGTCATCATCCGAGCGGACCTCCACAATAACAGAGTACTCAGACTTGGGACTGGGTGATTCTGGGCCCCGGAGCTCAGGGGCCTTCTGGGCAGAGATGTGGGAGGCGTCCTCCTGAAAGATCACATCAGAGGCTGCCTCCTCCTCCTCTTCCTCCTCCTCCTCCTCTTCCTCCTCCTCCTCTACCTCCTCCTCCTCCTCTTCCTCTTCCTCCTCTTCTTCCTCTTCCTCCTCTTCATCCTCCTCCTCTTCCTCCTCCTCCTCCTCCTCATCCTCCTCCTCGTGACTCAGGATGCCTTTCTGCTTGCTGGACTCCTCACTGGCTACATCCTCCAGGGACTGGGGACACAGGTCCTGGGAACGCTCGCTGGTGACTTCAATGACCTCCTCGGCATCCTCTGGCTGGATGAAGAGGCCCTTTTTACCCTCCACGCTGGCAGCTCCCTCTGTGGCCTCCTGAAGCAGGTGCACAATGCCAGGACCTGGTTTGGCTGCCTGGCCCAAGTTTTCTTCCACCAGGGTCTCTTCAGCAAGTTGGCCCAAGTTCAGGAGAGAAGTTGCAATGATTCCCTGGTAGCTGCTATAGCTGCCCTTGGAGGAGCCAGTGGGGCTGCTGATGGGGTTGGATCCAAAATGGGACTTGACGGGGCTCCTTCCTGCACAAAAGCAGAATCAACATGGGGGCCAGAGGGCATGTGGGAAGCCTCATGTCTCCAGCCCTCAGCACGCTCTGACCTACCGCTCACTCTTCATACGGGAGCCCAGGGAAACAGGGCAGCCTCCCTGTACCTGACCTACCACTCACCCTTCATACGGGAGCCTGGGGAAACAAGGAATTCCAGAAGTGGGGGTTTGGTATGGGGATTTCTGTCAACCCTTCTGCCTGAATCCAGAAATCACAGTGAATATATCTTAGGAGGCAGGTCATGAGCCACTGACATACTTTGTAAACCGAGAATTACTTTGATACTTTTTATTCCTGCTCCTCTCCCATCACGTTTACTTTCCCAAACCAGATAAACCTGCATTTCATACAATGGGGCTGAAACAGCAAATCTGATTTTAAAATATATATATTTCACAATATAAAAGCAGTAAATAAGACCAGGCACAGTGGCTCATGCCTGTAATCCCAGCACTTTGGGAGGCTGAGGGGGGTGGATTACCTGAGGACAGGAGTTCATGACCAGCCTGGCCAACATGGCAAAACCCCGTCTCTACCAAAAATACAAAAATTAGCTGGGCGTGATGGCGCGCACCTGTAATCCCAGTTACTCAGAAGACTGACGCAGGAGAATCACTTAAACATGGGAGGTGGAGGTTACAGTGAACTGAGATTGCACCACTATACTCTAGCCTGGGCCACAGAACAAGACTGTCTCAAAAAGAAAGAAAGAAAAAGAGAGAGAGAGAGAGAAAGGAAGGAAGGAAGGAAGGAAAACAAAAGCAGTAAATAAATTTATATTTTTAAAGGACTTAGATTTAATTCTTTTAACCAAAATAACTAAGATGTGGCCAAACGCAGTGGCTCACACCTGTAGTCCCAGCATCTGAGGGGGCCGAGGTGGGCGGGACACCTGAGGTCAGGAGTTTGAGACCAGCCTGGCCAACATGGAGAAACCCTGTCTCTACTAAAAATACAAAAATTAGCCAGGCATGGTGGTACACGCCTGTAGTCCCAGCTATTCCTTCAACCCGGGAGGAGATTGCAGTAAGTCAAGATCGTGCAATCCAGCCTGGGCAACAAAGTGAGACTCTCTCAAAACTAACAAAAAACAAAACAAAACTAAGATGTGGTAGGTGCTCACTACGCGCAGGCCCTGCAGGGTTGTCAGCAGGACTCTCGGGCCAGCACACCCCACAGTGGTAGGAACCATCCCTGCCATCCACCCACTTCGGAGGGGAAAGTCCAAGCCCAGGCTGATGCCTAAACTCCAGGTGCCCTTCGTTATAAGAAAGCAGGAACATTTGTGTCTTTTCTACCTGGGGTCTAGGGATAGCTTGATCCCATGGGGCAGCACACTCACTCCAGAGCCCCACAAGGGAGTTGAGTCTGGGGACCCTCTCTGGCTTTGCTTCTAAAATCCATCTCAGACCCTTCCCCATTGCAGAAGCTTGGGGAGTGTTGGGTGGTAGTTAGTAGGGGTGGGGTGGACCTTGGGCCTCGTCTGACCCCAGGTCTACAAATGTGCCAGGGCTCTCAGGGGTATAGATCCCTCTCTCCGGAACCCAGGGCCCAAGCACTTACTTCACCCGCTTTTGCCAAGAGCTGGGTGCCCCAACATGGCAGTCCTGGTCGACCCCACAGGAAGTGGGGGACTCATCTGCTTTCCTTCTTCCCCTCTTGGCCTCCCTGGGCACCCCATTTTCAGAGGCCCCACCTGGTCCCCTGAACTCAAGCTCAGGTATTTCCTCAGCATCTGCCTGTGAGCGCCTCAGGGGGAAGCAGACCCCTCACCCCTGCCCCCAGGCAGGTCTCCCAGAGGGCCAGGCCAAACAGAGAGGCAGTCTAAGACCCTCCCTTCCTTCCCTGCTTACAGACACAGAGACACAGCCTTGTCTGTCTCTCTCCCATACATGCAGACACACCTGCCGAAACACACACACACACAGCCCTGAGTCTGTCTGCCCTGCCTCCCTCCTACGTACACAGTGTTCGCACACAAACACACCATAGGCCCCACAAACACCAGGGCAGACCTCTCTCCCAGGAAGCCCAGCACATGTTGGGACAAGACATGCCTTGTTCTCAGGAAGGGCTTTCTCTTGCCCAGAGTAAGCCCCTCCCGCTCACAGGCTGCAATTCTCCAGGGCCACACTAAGCGTCCTTTATTCAGAGAAGAAAGAGCGACAAAGCACCTTCAGCTGGCTTGGGGCGATGAATCTCCTCCTGTCCTGATGTCTCAGCCTCGGCCCCCTCCAGAGTTCCTTCCGATTCATCTGAAACAGAGGCGTCCTTCACCTCAGTGTCCTCACTGCCGTCACTGTCCACACCATAGCCCTCGTCCAGAGCCAGCTTCAGGGGGTGCGACTTCCTCTTGGACACCAGGTGCTCAGCCTCAGTGCCCTCCAGCTTCCTCTTCTTGGCCAGGGGGCAGCTCTGTAAACTGGGAGGGAGGAGTAGGCAGTGGAGAGGGCCAGGCTAGAGCCACAAGAGGCCTCAGCCACCCCATGAGCCCCTCCCGAGGGTCCTTTCTCCCTCCTCCACACACTCATCCAGTCCTTTCAGGGGACCTGGACAGAAAAGCCCAAGTGTAGTGTGGGAGGACCGGTAATCTGTCTGCCCCCACGTGGCGTGCCCACAGCCACCCTGGCCTCCATGCCAGAGTGAGAGGATGCCACCTCGCAGGAGGGGCAGCAGCCTGTCCTCGTCAGCTGTGGACAAAGATGGAAGGTTCTCTATCCGCAAAAGGGCCTAGAGCAGGGGAAGGCTCCAAATCTACTCCCAGGAACCTCTGTGACACCCCAGAGTCCTCTTACCTTCGGTGTCTGGAGTACTTGCCCCGGACATGTCCTGAGCCAGTGCATCCAGGGGTGGGACAGCTGAGGGGAAATAATAAGGCAAAGGGGTTCAGATCTCAGGGCCCATCCCAGACCTTCACCCCAGAGAGCAGATTACCTCCGAACAATTCAGCTCAGAATACTGCTTGCCATTTGCTGAAATTTAATAACTCCCCTCATTCAAATAAATTCATGGCTCATTACAGTTTTAAAAGATTCGGTTAAAGATCTATGTATATAAGAGCAAGACTTCCAAGGCCAGAGTCTCTGGGACAGCTGTTCTGCAGGCATCTCGCCTGCAGGGTTCCAGGGCGAGACACAAAACATTCTGAGGGGCCTCGAACACAGCACCCTCTCTACAGAGGACCCACGCCCAAGGCACAAAAGTTGGCCTTCTCTGTGGCCACCACTAATGCTGTAAGGCCCATGGCCACCACTAATGCTGTAAGACTCATGCCCACCACTAATGCTATAAGACTCATGCCCACCACTAATGCTGTAAGACTCATGCCCACCACTAATGCTATAAGACTCATGCCCACCACTAATGCTGTAAGACTCATGCCCACCACTAATGCTGTAAGACTCATGCCCACCACTAATACTGTAAGACTCATGCCCACCACTAATACTGTAAGGCCCGCAGCCACCATTAATGCTGTAAGGCCCACGGCCACCACTAATGCTGTAAGGCCCACGGCCACCACTATACAGTAAGGCCTGCAGCCACCACTAATGCTGTAAAACCCACGGCCACCACTAATGCTGTAAGGCCCACGGCCACCACTAATGCTGTAAGACTCATGCCCACCACTAATGCTGTAAGGCCCGTGGCCACCACTAATGCTGTAAAACCCACGGCCACCACTAATGCTATAAGGCCTGCAGCCATCACTAATGCTGTAAGGCCTATGGCCATCAAGGGCAACAGTCTCTGCCTTCCCTGGCAGCTGCGACCTTCATGCCCCAACAAACTGAGCTGGGACTGCCAGGCAGGAGGGACTCTGTGGCCCAAGCCAAAGATGGAGGTGAAGATTCCACCCCAGTGCCTGTAGCTGGTGTGGGTTGAGGCTCCCATGGAGGAAAATGAGTCCAGGAGGGCTAATGAACCAGGAGCTGACAGTATCCGCCTTGGTGGAGGACTCGGGCTATGCTAAGAGCAGTTTGAAGAAGGGTGATGCTGACCTTCTTGCGTCTCTCCCCCCCGGGCTGGTAAGCCCAAGGCAGGACACCCAGGAGTTCCTCTTCCTGAACCATCATCTGCCTCCCTACATAACCAAAACAGCAGGAAGCTCTGGAAGCCTCTGAGCATGAGTACTGATTATGCCAACCAACCATAGCAACAGGACCATGGCTCCCACAGCAGCCTCCGGCAAAAGTGGCCAGACAGGGGCCGGTGTGGAGTGTGAGGCCAGAGTTGACCACAAACTGACCTAAGCTGCCTGCCTTAGGTGACCTTGCACTGGCGTCTCCCTTGCTTATAAAGGGAGATGCCCATGCAAGGTCACCTAAGGCAGGCAGGAGGGGCAGGCCTGTGCTGCCTGTGGGAAGACAGAGGCTTTCCTTGCCAAGATGGGAGTACCTTATTTTTAACAGGATTGACACTGTGAGTCTCAGCTCTTTCCGAAACACAAGCACATCTTCCAGAGCCTGCGAAAGGAGGAAGGGAAGGGCTGGCACCCCCACACCTGAGACCCAGGGAAAAGAACACCATCCCAACCTCTGTTTAGACACCTCTGATCCTTTCTAATTTGATTGACCACAGGCCTGACTGCAGACAACTGTGGCGCCCACCTGGCCTTACAGGCCACACTCCCCAACCACCTCAGGGAGAACTGTCAGGAGAATCCAGCCTCACCCCATCCCTAGGCTCAACAGCAACCACGGGTGTGGGAGCTCTAAGGTGGACCTTCCCTGCAGCCTTCCAGGGCGGGGCTGATCTTAATGCCGGCTTAGAGTGTTAAAAAGAAGACAGAAAAGAAGGGAAGGAAGGAGGGAGGAGGTAAGAAGGAACCCAAGCAGAAAAGGAGGGGAGGAGGGAGGAAGAGGGAGAGAGGGAGGGCATGCCACACTCTACCGCAGATTCCCTTTCCAAACTGAGGGAGCTGCTCCTGCTGCCACCCCTTCTCCCCGCCTCCAGTCTCTTCTAAAATCCAGGCCCACACTTGCTTTCACTCTTTCAAGAACTAGCTTTGAAGCTTTTCACAAAAACCTCCTTGTTATTGGGGATTTGAAGCTGAGGTCCCAATTAGTCGATTAAATCACTGAGTTAATCAGGAAATTAGGTGACAGCTGCCATTGAGGCCTGGGGAGACTGGCACTGCTCTGAACATCACCCTCAGCTCAGAAGAGTCCAGTCCCCAGAAAGGTGGTCCTGCACCTTCCAGCCCCAGTCTCAGAGGGCATGAGACAGGGCTGTGAGCCCAAGTGCATGGAGCTGACAAGGCCACTCCGGGACAGGAAGCTGGAAATACAGATGCCTGCTCCCTACCCCACAGCCGAGCGGACCAGAGACCTGCCAGGGCCTCCAGGGGTGTTACCACAGCAGATGACAGCCCTGCCGCTTCACCTGCAAGCACTCCAGCTCTTATTCACTGATTTCCTCTGGGGCTAGGGCTATAGGGAGAGGAAGATGACCAGGGCTCCAGGACTCCAGAGCCTCTTTCTCTGGGAGGAGGGAATTCCCCAGCCTTGACTCCCCACCTGTGATGGGGGCTGGTGTCAGAGATACAAGGAAAGGATGCACCTGAGGCTGGAAAGAGGGTGTGGCTCACAGTCACCCCTCAGCTGGCAACCTGCATAGCTTACCAGGTGAGCTGAGGAGAGGTCAGCTCACCTGGAACCCACACTTGGCATTGAAGATGGCAAGGCAGGAGAGGGGCTGAAGCCTGGCTTGGGGCCCCAAGCTTCAGCTACCATCCTTTGCAGGCACTGCTTTCCCTCCCTCCCCTGGGGCAGGTGGAAAACCCCCCACTCCCTCCTGTCATCTGGTTGGGAATTGGCCAACAACTCAAGGAGAAGGCACCAGAAGGGAAGGGTGAGCTGCAGGGAGTCAGGACACAGACGTGTTCTCTCTCTGAGCTCAGAGGTGGCCCTGAACTCAGTGTTGTCGGCACCTCGCTGTCTCAAAGATGCTAACCCTAACCCCAACCCTAACCCTCCAGCAGAGTCTGTCTGAGGCCATGTGACAACAGATGGACCCAGACGAAAACACAAGCTGAAATGTCATCAGTTCTTCCACTGGGGTGAAAGGAAAAACCATTGAACCACTTCTTCTCTCAGGCACTTGGAGTGTTAAAATCAGGGCACACAGACACTCCCAGTGGGCTCTGAAGTCGGAAATAGCAGCTCAGGGTCCTACTCGATCCAAGTCCGACCACTCCTCAGCTCACCTCGTAAACAACCAAGAGTGTCTTCCTGGGAGGTCTCTCTGAGCCGGTGGGGAGATGAGCTGGGGTTGGGGCACTGCGGGCTGGGAAGTTCTGAGTGTTAAGTCCCTCATCCACAGAGAAAGTCCTGCATGCAGGGATTCCAAAAGGTGACTGTGTCTACGAGCTCGTCCCATGCCACGGGCTGCTCCTCTCACAGGCCACAGCAGTGGGTTTTCTCTGGGGTCACGCTCCCTGTTCCAGCACCCACAGTGTGGGCCCCACCAGGACAGAGGCCTCATCTGCTTGTCAGTCAGCACCCACAGTAGGCAAGAACGCAGGCCTTTGGGAGGGAGAACATCATCAGCCCATTTCTGCCATTTCTGTGGTGTAAATGCTGCCACCGTGGCTGGGCGCACAGTCACAGGCACGCCCACGTGAAGCGTGTGGCCAACGGATGTTTGGGAACACAAGAATGCACAGCAGCTTCCGTGCAGAATGCATCTGATTCCTTGGAACATAATCTTTGTTCTATTTTCCTCTAAGCATCACTTTTCAGCCATGAAAAATTGCTGAATAAATTGTTGTTGGAACACTAGATGTCAACATATTTCCCCATAGTTTCTCCATTAAAAAGTTTCAGAGTCTCACTATTACCAAGTAAATAGGTTGGGAGCACAGACTAATGAGGGTGTCAAAATCTAAATGCTCACAGAACCCCCTCAGTTAGGCTGGATAGGTCCTCTCAGAATGTTTCAAAACAGACAAATCTATTTGAGAGTCATTTTTCCTTCTGCTGTTTCAAAGCTACAAGGGAGCACCCAGCCATTTGTATTTGCCTTTTCAGCTTCCTCCACACTCCATCTGTTACCCAAAAGGCCTGGAGTTTCCGCAACTCCTGTGCCTCACTTGCTGCACCCTTGCTCGGGATTCTTCTCTGTCTTTGCCTCCACGGTGTCTCCAGGCAAATGCCACCTGGCACCTCCTCTGCCCTTTTCTCAGGGTCCTTCTGAGTATCTCTCGGCATCGCAATTACTGCTTCCTCAGCAGGCTGGCCAAGCAGACAGTGTCCCCCTTCCAGGGAGCCGACCCCTGTGCTTTGGGGGGCTATGTTCTGGGGAGCACCCATGGGATGCGGAGGACACCAGACCACAAGTGCTGCCACATAACCTGGTTTGTCTGAGGTTCCACCCCGCCTCTCCCACCTGTTACCCAGGGTGGGGCTTCCAGCAAGTAGCCCATGTGATACAGCTCTTCTGGTTAGGTGAGGGTGAATCCCTGAGTCTTGGTTTCCCCACTTCACAAACGGGGTGGTAACACACCAGGCAGTGCTTCCATGACATTCCCAGAGATCAAGACTGTAATGCTGTGGCTGTAATGTAAGTGGCTGGTCCTTCAGTTATGGCTGCAAAGAGGTACAGGGCTCTGACTGGGCAGGCACAGAGTCTGTGACCAACACAGGGCCTGGGGCTTGGAGCACCCCAGCTCCCTCCCCTAGCCCTCTACTTCATCTCCAAGTTACAGCATCCCTCCGTCCCACCTCTGCGAAAGGTTTACAAAGTAAACTACAGGCCTCTCATTTTCTGGATTGGCAGAAGCCATCTACTCTTCAATTGTATGGTGAACAGAGATGGTCCCTGCCCTGAGAATCCGTATCCCTAAGAAGCAGGGAGAAAACAGTCACAGAGCTCAGCCAGCCAGATCATCAGTACACAGAACGGCTGTTTGCATCCTGAGCCAATGGAAGACTCAGGATGCAGGAGACCCTCTTCTCTTATCTCATCCCCAAACTGGGCCTCCAACCATTTGACACAGAAGCATTTGTAAGAGTCTGCAAAAAGAGTAGCTTGTTCCTGGCTTGGGGGACCGTGGTGACAGTCCAGGTCCTCATGGTGACCAGGTGCAAGCACATCTGTGTCTCCACCATGGTGCTGGGGCCAGGACAGAGGTGAGAAAGGGTAGAGATGGGGCCAAGATAGCTGGATGCATGGCCAGGAGAAAGGCAGCCTCCTTAAGGAAAGCAGGGGCTCACCAGGCACATTCAGTCAATCCAAGAAGACCTCGATTGGGACATTTAAGATATCTCCAGGGTCACAGATGCATAGACAATGCTTGGTGCTAACAGGAAGACTTCCTTACCTGAGGTCTGCAGCTGTGGTCTCTGGGGCTCCTGGAAAAAAGAGAAAAACAGGGAAAACATGGGTATTGTGATTTTAAAGCCTCACTGCCCTAACAGCAGAAACCAAGTTGAACAGCCAAGAGGTTTGCCAAAGACAAGTGGAGGCAATCTCAGTGAGACCTGCGTGGTTCTCTGGGGCCCTCACCCTGTCCTGACCTCCCAGAGAGTCCAAGGTCAACAGAGTGAGCTGCTCCCTCTAGCCTGATGCTCACCCCAGAAGCCCCCCTGAGAAGCCTGGCTGTTTTGCTGAATGGGACAGATACTCCACCTCAAGCACGATCTCTGGGACCTCAGGGCCAGGGATGGGGTCTCTTTCTCTAATTGCAGATAGAAGTCAGCTTTTGGCAGGGAACACAAACCACCAGATCAAGCTGGACAGAGAAGAGAACAACCGGACCAAGCAGCTGGTCCTTCAGTGACGGCTGCAAAGATGTGCAGGGCACCGACCAGGCAGGCACAGCTGAAATGCGGGGAGCTCCTGGCCACTGCGTGGGACACAACAGGAAGACCTCCCCCAACCATGTATCAGGGAGGTAAGTCCAGCCAAGGGTTAGGGCTTAGATCCTAGCAGAGTGAGTGAGGCCTCAGCCCCATCTCCCCCCACTGCACTGCTGGCTCAACCCAACACCCTCCTATTCCCCATCAGCACCAAGACTGATCTCTTGGGAAGGATGGGGGCTGGTGGTGAAAGGTTGGCAGCCTCCCATTTCCAAACAGAATGGTCTCTTAACTGAGCCTTGCCATTCCCACCATGGAGCTGGGTCTGCCTCAAGGCAGGTTCATCTGGGGCAAAGGCCCCTCAGCAGCCCTCTTAGATGCCAGCTTCAAAGCTCAGCAGGCCTGAGGATGAAAGAGGCTGCAGAGGCCCAAGGTCCCCAGGGCATCTCTGCATATGTGTGGTAGGGGTTTGCACGCCCGAGGAAGACTGCAGAGGAAAGTGGCATTTACAGCCCTGGAGGCAGGAAGGGCAGCACTCACCTCGCAGGGCCTTGGATCGGGTGCGAGCTCGCTTGTCTTCATTTTCTAAGCTCATCTGCAAGCAAAAAAACCGTGACGTTAACAAGAACACCAGCCAGTGCCTCTGGAATACAGAACCATCAGTCTGGCCATTTTCTGTCTCAAGCTTTGACAGTGAAGGTGGTTTGGGGCACAGAATGACACGGATGGGCTCACAGGACAGGAGAGGCCTGGGGCCAGGAGCAGCAGGTAGGACATTGTGGAGGAAGGACCCTCTACTAGGCTTGGAAGTATCCCATTCGGCATGTCCCAGCCCTTGGCAAGGAGGCTGCAGAGCACCGTGCCCTCCCGCTGCCCCTGGGTGCACCTGCCAACGAGTGCCGAGGCATGGGCCCTGCCCCACCGAAGCCTTATGAAAGTTCATGTTTTATCTATGAGGGTCTCCTGGCCTGACACAGAGCAGCACCCACTGCTCACCTCTCACCACACTCAGCCACCGTGGCAGGGCAGGTCATCCAACAGCTTCTGACCTCAACGTGTCCCCAGAGCACAGCTTCCCATGGGCCCTTTCTTCCCACTACAGCAAAGGCTTCAATGCCCCTCCTACACTAGGAGCAAATAGGCAGCCTGGAGCAGCCCCAGCCCATATGTTCTCTGGCCTAGAGGGCCTGGCTGCCTTGCCTGAGCCCATCAGTGACCCTCCCCACCTTTGATCCCCAAGTCTGACTGGCCTCCATGGGGATGCTGCCCACAGCATTTGTCCTGCAAGGGAGTCAAGGAGGAGCCCCCAAGAGGGTGACAATCACAGAAAGGACATGCCTGGGGTGAGGATCACACACAGAATCCCAATCCTGTGTCACCATGACAAATCTGGGCAGGCAGATAAATCTCACACACTCCATGCTATGCAAAACATCCTTCTCAGGGAGCTATGCCAGGTCGGGGAGGCCATCTCTGGCTGGACAGGGGATGCTCCATACACCCCAGGAGGCCCAAGAGGACAGCACGGGACTCCACCACATCACCACAGCAAATCCACACCTGTCCCAGGCCACAGACACAAGAGCAGCAAGAGCTCCATGTGCGAGGTTGTCAAAGGGAAAGCAGGGGTGTGGGAAGAAGTAGCAGAAGAAAGGAAGGGAGGCAGCAGGAGGGGGCTCAGAGGCCCCTACATCTTAACTGGGGCTTTAGTTCCTGAAAGCCAGCAAGAGACAAATGTCTACAGTACCACCTGGGAAGAAAGAAAAAGGAATTCCCCCAATTAGTAAGACAAAATTTGCAAATTGAACCTCCCCAAGCAGCAGCACTAACATACAGTGATATATGTGATTTGTTAAGGAAGAAAAATCAAAACCTGGGTAATTTATGCAACCTGTCGACTCTGGGCTGCAGAGCACAGTGCTCTGAGCCATGCGTTTATTACAGCCTTCCAATAGAACAGAAGACAATTACTACAATTTCTATTTTTAAAGCGGAGGTTCCCCATGGACCAATGGTTCACGTTTAAAGTGAAGAGAGGAGCAGGTGTCACAGGGACTTCATTACATTTATGAGCCTTCAAATGTCGTCTGCTCTGAGCCAGTGCGCAATGCCTTCCGCTGCAGGATGCACAATGGGGCTGATGTGTCTGATTGCATGGTGCCCACACTCAGCTGAAATGCAATCTACGGCTTTATTTTTTTTGTCAGTGTTCCCAAGGATATTGGCTAGCATTCTGCTAGGTTAAAGCGTGCCTGGGCAATTTGGATTTCCTGCAGATAAATTATTCAAAGAGCAGAGAATAGAGAGGGTTGCAGGGATGTGTAATGGGCGCTGCTTGTAAACTGTGAGCTCCCATTGATGAAGCTGACAGCTCTGCCGCTTCCTCTGCTGAGCACCCTACATTTGCAATTTATCTGCATTGACTGGTCAATAAGCGAGAATTTCTCTTAGGTGCATGTAGCTTTTATTTTTAAAGGGAAAAAATGAACTACTGAAGAAAAAAAAACAGGCTCTTTAATATGAGAATGAATCCATAAGAGCTGGGTGACTTGGGACACTGGTTTCTGAGCTGTTTGAAATCAGCAGTGCTGGCTGACACTGCTTGATTTACGTCATTTTTCCAACGAACTCAAAGCACTTCAGAGGTGGGTTCTCTGCTCTCCTCCTGCCGCAAGATCAGCACCCCGATGTGGGAGATGGAGAGGGGTGTGGGGGCAGCCATGTGCCCAGCACCACCCAGGCTCATCCTGGTGATTACTGGTGGCAACCCCCCAGACCTTCTGCCCCCATCACACAGTGGCAGCTGTGCCCTTAAGGGCAGCTCAATGATTCGAAGAAAACTAAACACTTCTCAATTTTTCATTGATGTTTAAAACACACTTTACTTGTTCCAAACACAAGCCAACCAGGTCCCTGTTTTTGTACAACTCACAAATAAGCCAGTGCCCTCTCCCCTTGAGGGTGAAAAGTTTCCTTTGTTGAGACAGGATGACCCCATTACCCACTCTCACTGCTGGGCCAGAATCTCTCTCAAGAACCTCTGCTCTGTTGCTCCAATGCCAACTTCATTCTGCCAGTGCGAACATGTCTTGGGGCTCTAATTAATATTTCAATAGTTCTGCCTTCAATAGGAAAACTATGGGGAGGAGAATAATTCACAAATGCAAATACATTGTATATTGCCAAATTAACCCAAGAGAATTGTCTCTTTGTCCATCCATTTAACCTGCTTCCCTAGTACCATGTAAAAGCAGTCTCCTCAAAAGTGTGTTCTGTTTTATATTACTTTTTAGTAAAGTCAGGATTAATCATGTAAGCTCTTTTGAAAATATACGTAGTTCTGCTGGGCGTGGTGGCTCCCGCCTATAATCCCAGCGCTTTGGGAGGCCAAAGCAGGTGGCTCACTTGAGGTGAGTTTATGATCAGCCTGGCTAACATGGTGAAACCCTGTCTCTACTAAAAATACAAAAATTAGTAGGGAGTGGTGGCAGGTACCTGTAGTCTCAGCTGCTTGGGAAGCTGAGGAAGGAGGATCATTTGAACCCAGGAGGCGGAAGGTGCAGTGAGCCGAGACTGCAGCACTGCACTCCAGCCTGGGTGACAGAGCAAGACTCCATCTCAAAAAAGAAAAAAAAGGAAATATAGATATATATATACACGTAGTTGTCACCATGACATGCTACGAAGACCAGCCCCTTTTCCAGACTCATCTGCACACGGCCCTTGGCAAAACAGAGTTCCCTGAGTTGGGTGTTTACAAACTCAGGAACCAAAAAAAAAAGCAAATGCAATAAGCAGTCCAGAAGCCTGCAGAGCAATCTGGACTCTGAGGCTGAAGCTGTGAGAAATGCACTCAGAGCCCAGAAAAAGGGCTGGGTGCGGTGGCTTACACCTGTAATCCCAACAGTTTGGGAGGCTGAGGCAGGCATGGTGAAACCCGACTCTACTAAAAATACAACAATTAGCTGGGTGTGGTGGCAGCCACCTGTAGTCCCAGCTACTCAAGAGGCTGAGGCAGGAGAATCACTTGAACCCAAGAGGCGAAGACCTCGGTGAGCCGAGATTGCGCCGCTGCACTCCAGCCTGGGCTGGAGCAAGATTGTCTCAAAAAACAACAAGAAAAACAACCAGAAACATAGCCAGAAGCAAACGACTCAGGTCTCATCTCTAAGGGAAAATGGTGGACTCAACTGCCAGAGATGTCAGGGCTAGGGATTTTCCATGAAGCCCAACAGGCTTTGTGCCAACTTCCACCCTTGCCCCAGAAGCTGTGACTTCCCGCCGTTCCCTGGCCCAGCTCAGGGATGCCTGTTTCTCCTTGCTCAGTCACTCACTCCCTCTCTGTCTCTCTCTGCCCCTGTCGTTCCTTTCTCATGCTTCAAAGCTGAACAGCCCCCTCCCTCAGCCCCCATCACATCCCTTCTGTACCAAGGGCCCAGGGCTGCTCAAAGGACAGAATCCTGGTCCTGGCATGAGGGTGTCCTGGCCTTGAGGGGCATGAGCCTGGCACCCCAAGGTTTGTATGTCACTCCAAGGAGGCAGGGAGTGGTGAGGGGAGAGCCCGAGGCAGAGGGAGCTGCTAAGGCTTGAGAGCCAGGTAGGGATAGGAAGGGTGAAAGGAGCAGTGATCCGAAGACATGTGCAGTGGGAGACACTCCAGACGTGGAGCTGGGTGCATTCGTGCGTGGCCAGCACCCTGCCTCCTCCACCTCTCAAAGTCCCCACCATGTGCCTGCTTGCTTCCCCCGCAGTCCTCTTCTCAGTCTGAAATGAGCTCCTGCATTCATGGTGTTAAGGTCACTGTCTCTCCTCCAGAGAGCTGCTCAGTGCATATCATGTGAGGATGGGCGGATGCACAGGTGGATGGATGAATAAATGGGGACAGGCAGAAACATCTCTGAAATCCTGGGGCTGTGGTACATGGAGAGCCGTGGTCAGAGGGGCGACACAAGGCCACATGTGGGGGCCTTGAGCTGGGGGATTCCAGGCATTCTGACACAACAGGGACCATATACCCCAGCTCTGGACTAAAGGAGGAGACACATTAGTGTTTCATTTTATTTAAAATATGTTCTGACAGCCAGCAAATCTGGAGATTTAGGATGGTCTTACAACTATTCTTAAAAATCCATAAAATTACATAGGTTGGGTGTCCTGGTGGGATGCTTGAGCCTCTTGCATGATGATATTCCTCCCAGAGACCCAAAAGAAGAAGGAGAGCACCTGCTGAGCTCCAGGGACCACAGGCAGCCCCTTCCCAGAAGGACTTGGGGGAGAGGAGGAGGCCAGAAGCTGGCCGTTGCCCACCCTGCCTGGCTCCAGCAGTGCCTCACACTACATTCAGTTTCACTTCTCGTCAGTGAGGGGAGGGGAGATGGACAGAGCCATCTTCTGACCTGTTTTCTTCTCTCACTTATGTACTGAGGCAGCACCAACTTCCCTGTCACCATTGGGAAGCCATCACAGCAGACAGTATTGAGGAAGGTGCACGTTCCCACTCAGCGATCTCAGAGCAGCATTTAAGCATCTGCCTCGTTCCCCTCCCAAGAATCCCGGGAGGGTCACCTGCCTGCCAGCTCAGCCCACAGAACAGATACAGAAAGTCAGTGACCTTGACACACATCCTGCTTTCTACTCCCTTGATCTCTGAGGCTAAACCATGAGCCCTCACCCCTGCGCCCCACTGGGAGCACCCCCTGGTTCCTTGTAGTGATAGTTCTCTCTCCACATTGGGTGATGTCCTGTTGCACATCTGAAATTCTGAAATTCTCCTGACAAATTCAGCAGATTACACCAGCCTCCTCCTTAGGACATTGAAAGGACACCTCCATGGGGCATTATTTAACACATGTCTGAGAAGGGGTTCTCTTGACAGCTGTAAGCATGGGCTACTGGCTCACTTCACTCCCAAATTAAGAATTATACCTACGTAATGGGTACCCTGGTGAAGCAGCCACATCTGCAACCATCTGTTAAAAACCCCAGCATAAGTGGAATTCACACCTACCCAGGGCAGACTCCTGCAACATCAAGTGAGGCAAGCAGAATGGCCACACCCTGTGGCAGCTCCTTCCCTTGCAGGAGCCTCTATCCAGTCGCCCTTGCCAGAGGCACCCCCTGCCTTGGGTGGCAGAAGAAGTGTTGGCTGAATGGTCATGCAATTGCCCTTTTTTATGATTCCATATCTCCACAGTCATCCACTGAATGTTTTGCAAGAAGGGAGTTAAGGAGTTACCGTCAGCACCTGCACTTCCCACTGACACACCACCACCTAACTTCTCTGGCAGCCGCTTCCAACCGGTCCTGAGCTGTCCACATGCCTGGTGCTGAACTCAGAGCAAGCGGCACGCTATCACGGTCCCTGGCACAGGCTTTGTCTGTTAACTGCCCTCCCGTGCTGGCTCCTCACCTCACCTGTCTCCTGTCCGAAGCCAGCCTCTGCAAGGCTGATCCAGTGCTGCTGTAGCTGTGTGACATTCTCATGACCTGTGCTGCCACCCTCCTCAGCCCCTAAGTCAGGAGACGCCACCTGCACCAGCCCCACTGTCCTCTGGGCAGTCGACCTTTCTCATCCTCTCGCCTTCTCTGGCACACTTTTCATCTTAGCTTCTCTATTCAGAGCAGTAACTCAGGCCCTATCCCAAAGGAAAATGACTCTCAAACAGAGCAGTGATGAAAGAGCTGGTGATGCCGCGAGAACCTGGGCATGGGCCCCTGGCTTTGTTCACAGAATTTGCACTTTGAACAGCCATGGGTCATCCATGGCAGGTCCCAAACTCTATAAGTGCGTCATATTTGGGGCCAGGGGTAGACAAAAATCTTCCTACCCACCCCTGACGTGGCATCAGACATTTGTAGATAACACTTCATGCAGAGGCCCTGTCCTCAAATCAAGTAACTTCTCACATGACCTCATGCCAGGACAGCTCTATGTGAATCTTCAGGGCTTGTGGTAGTGTGAGGGGAATGAGGCCAAAAACTCAGCGATCAAGATAAATAATATTTTAATTCAATATTTAGAAACATCAACATGATACAAAAAAACCATGATAAACAAAATACCAAAACTTTAAATAAAGACAGGACCAATATGACTGACACTTCCTTGTGCCTCAGGCTCCAAGGTGAATCAGTAGAGCATGGATAATCCTATGGGAGCCAAAATATGAGCGGAGAGGCTGAACAAGGTATCTATAACAGACCCATTAAAATGTACATTTTCACCACCAGATTCAAAATAAAAAGGTTGGGTCTTGAGAGTAAATTACAAGCACCCTCAAATGAAGGTCCCACTGTAACTGCACAGCCCTCCCTGCCTACACCCTAGGCCATCACTGTCCCTGAGCCCTGAGTCCCTGCATCACAGTTGGGTCCTTGCTGGAGAGCACCCACATGCAAGAAAACAAGAGGGCAGACAGAATCTGATGCCTGGAAAGGGCTGCACCCTAAGCCATTGTCGGCCTCTACGTCCAGCTCTGAGTGGACCTGGCCTCACCAGAGAGTATTGGCGGGAAGTTCTAGAATCAGAGTGTTGGTGGAGAACAGTGGCTATAAGCACGTGTGACATCACAGTTTGGGAGTGTCCCCAGGGGAGGTCCCCTCCATCCCGAATTCTGGGAAGGTATAGGAAGGGCATGCACCATCTGCCTCCCCTTAGGAAAATCAAAATAAGGCCAATAGACCTCATAAGTTCCTGCTGGCAAACTCTGCTGTCAGATCCTGCAGGGACTCAGCCCACCCTGGTAAAAGCCAGTGAATAGAGAACAGCTGCTCAGGCACATCACAGAGCCCAGAAGTGCTCCTATCTCAAAGCAGGGAAGTGAGACTCTGGGTTCACATTTTAGTTTTGTGGGGTTTTTTTGTTTGGTTGGTTGATTGCTTGCTTGCTTGCTTGTTTTTTGAAATGGAGTCTTGTTCTGTTGCCCAGCCTGGAGTGCAGTGGCACAATCTCGGCTCACTGCAACCTTTGCCTCCCAGGTTCAAGTGATTCTCCTGCCTCAGTCTCCTAAGTAGGTGGGATTATAGGCGTGTGTCACTGAGCACAGCTAATTTTTGTATTTTTAGTAAAGATGGGTTTTACCATGTTGGCCAGGCTGGTCCCAAACTCCTGACCTCAAATAATCCACCTGCCTTGGCCTTCCAAAGTGCTGGGATTACAGGTGTGAGCCACCACACCCAGCCTGGGGTCACATGTTAGTTTTGATCTGCTCAGAGTCATTTTTCTTTCCTTAATTTTTTTTTTTTTTTTTTTTAGACTGAGTCTTGCTCTCTGTCTTCCAGGCTGGAGTGCAGTGGTGTGATCTCAGCTCACTGCAACCTCCGCCTCCCGGGTTCAACTGATTCTCCTGCCTCGGCCTTCCAAGTAGCTGGGATTACAGGCACCTATCACCACGCCCAGCTAATTTCTGTATTTTTAGTAGAGATGGGGTTTCACCATGTTGGTCAGGCTGGTCCTGAACTCCTGACCTTGTGATCCACCCACCTCAGCCTCCCAAAGTGCTGGGATTACAGGTGTGAGCCACTGCGCCTGGCCTCTTCCCTTAATTTTAAAGTTACCAGATCATTGCTGATCCTGGTCCCCATTTACCCTTCACCTGACCTGGACTCTGGTGATAATCAGACCAAAAGTCACCTCCGCGCTTTGTGCCTGCGGCCGAGGAGAGGCTTTGTGCAGGCAACCACGTGGTGGAGCCCCAGGACAGGGGCCGCCGTCTAGTGCCTCACCTTGCAGGGTCTGCCCAGGAGGGGTCTTGAGGTCTTGCAGCTGCTGGCCTTGCCTCCGTGTGTCCACCTCTGATTTAGCAGCTCACCCTGGAACTCATTTTCTGAGGGTTTAAAAGATACAAGTTCAGAAAAGGAAAGCTTGGTGGGTGCCAGCCACACTGGCTCAAGAGGAAAAAGTGAGAAGCTTGGGGTACTTTTTTATACATCATACATTCAATCCCTATTTTCTGAAATCTAATGGAGCAACAGACAAGGTCATGGCTCCATGGCTGTTCCAGGGACAAGAAACAATTTCTCTCCGACTCAGGAGCCTCCTCAGAGCCCTCCACCATTGTCCCAGCTCTGGTGCTACTCATGCAACGCGCCTTGGGTAGGTGGTTGGGTCCCACTGTCAGCCGTGCTCACCAGAGTGCTGGGACAAGGCAGCTGAGACCCACCTGAGAAAATGTGGCATTTAATCTCTCCAGCTTTGAAAATGAGCTGACTAACGAGTCATTATTCATGTTACAACCAGATCCTTCTGCCCCTCAAAAGAATGCACAGTACATATTCATTTGAAAAAGCAGATTGTTTTGTACAACTTCTCTGGAGCCCATTGATGGAAGAAAGTGAGATCCACCCATGGTGTCCAGTCAGCTTTGCCTCCCACAGGATCCTGGGGGCCCCACCAGGCTCTTTGCCCCGGTTTTCATCGTCCTTTCTCACCCTGTGTTTCTGCCTCTCTCCAGGGCAATGCCTCCAGTTAATATTTAATTCCTCACATAAATTCCCATGTCTAAACAGAGGCTGAATGCATCAGCTGGACATGACAAAGAAATGCATTGTGTACCTATTCCCTGCACGTCACTCCCCGTTTCCATGACAACCTGCTTTCTACATAACTGCAGCATTTCAAAGAAAGGTCATTAAGTAACCAACAATAAAAACAGGAAATGAATATTCTTGCATTCTGCTCTGCCTTTGCCTTGGAAGTCAGTTTGGGTTCTGCTGAAGGCACACTGTTCCCACCCGTTTTCTTCCTTTTTCTTATGCTTCCCCATGCATCCCCAAATGCAATTTTTCTCTAGGATTCTGGCCACTCCTGGCCCCAGGCAGCCCTGTGGCTCTGGCCACAGCATCTTCTTCTTATCTGGAAATGCTTCCATCCTATTAAAGGGCTTCGGATTACCTTCCAGAGCATAAACACAGAGGAAAGCAGATTTGGTCGTCAAGGAGACAGCATAATACAAGGTCTTCAGAGGAAAGAATAAAACCACTCAGATTCAGCACCTACTGTGTGCACCTACTACGTGCCTCCCCTCATTGAGCTGTAACAAAATCACAGGCCATCGCTGAGATGACAGGGCTCCCACCACAGGCACCGGTGCCTGGACTAGTGAGGAGTGAGCTGCGGGGGTCTCCCCATAACCCCAGATCTTGAGGCCCCTTGGGTTCCCATCTGCACTGAGCCAGTGTGAGGTGCCTCTGAGAGGGCCCAGCCTGCCCACCAGGTAACCAAATTCTCAACTCTATGACAGGGATGCAGGGCATAGGGAGGCAAAATGTACCAGAAGATTCCGCACCTGAACAAAGAATAATTCCCCCAGCCAGGGAGGATGCCTCACACTTTGAAGACAGGGCGTGGGGTTCTCTGGGTGGCTCTTGTGTGGTCACAACAGAAGGCGAGAGGCAAAGCCCCAGAGTGCACAGGGCTCGCTTTCTGAGTATCTGTCCCAGGAGACAAGATGCTGCGGGAACCTGCTCACTGGGCTGACTGGCAAGGCTCAAGCAGAATTTCTTGTTAGGGTTACATATGTAAATACGCAAGACAACTGGGGCATGTCTGACTGACAGTTGGAGGAAAGGGCATAAGGTCTGGGTGCTCCACAGGCACTGCCTCTCCCGATGGTGACTCCCCTGAGTTCTGCTTTGAGTCTTTCCTGCTTCTCAGAGAAGCCAGGTGGGCATGAACTGCAAACGTCTCTGCAAAGGGATGTTTTGTTTGATGGGAGCTAACCAGCTCACTGGGGCTTCTCCACCCACACCCACCCATGAAGGTCTGGAAATTAAGCCCTGTGGAACTCTTCATTGCTCACATCCCTGACACTCCATCCTAGGTCAGTCAGACCTGGAGTCTGAGGCCCTGAGGCCCTGAGGCCCCATACCTGCTCAGGCAAAGCACTAGGGTCACGGGGTCCTGTGCTCCTCCAAAGAGCCACCCCTGCCTCCCTGCAGCAGCAAAGCCACTGAGCTTATCTGGGCAAAAGAGCAGAATGGCACCTGGTAAAAGCCTTTGCACCACACCCCTGGATGCAGAGCACACAAGTAATCAAAGTACATACCCCCAAGCTCAGAACCTCATCTGTGAGGACCTGAGGACCCAGCTCGACCTTGACATGATTTAGCCTCCCTTTTCCAGGAAATGTTTTGGCAGCAAACAAGCACTGTTAGAAGCCCAGTAAGGTTTACCAGCTCCTCTCCTATGGCTCCCTCAGTCCCCTACTGGGTCCTGTGTGTGGCCACGCCCTGCCCCGTGGGCTCAGTAGGCTCCACGTCCAAAGGCTCTGCGCAATCAGCATCCCCAGCAGCACATTAAGTCCACACGTACCAGGGCCACGTGCTAAAGGAAAACTCTCCACCAAAATGTAAGGGGTTCCATAAAGACGCCCCTTCCAGAAGTCATGCTGCTCCATGGACACTCTGCAGTGGGAACAAGGGCCCCCAAAGCTCACACAGAGCACTGCTAGCAACTCAGACCTGACCGGCAGGTCACAACCCTCTGTGAGACTTAAGTTCTTCACCCATAACATGGGAGGAAAAGATGTATTTGGAGATGGAGAGACGTGCATAGGAAGAGCCTGGAACTGAAAGCATGAGGACATCAGCACTGCCGTCACCACCATGGCCTTTCCTGTCGGGAATCTAAAGTGAAGAGGAGGTTTTCATCAAGACAAGCCCTTACTCTTGGCTTTGCTGGGACCCCTCTCTATAGACCTGGCATCTTTGTACCTGGAGTCCTGCCTGCTCAAGGTTGCTCCCACATCTGTCCCAACAGTGGCCCCAGACTCACTTTTGTGGGACTCTGGTGGGCAGAAAAACTCAGTAAACAAACAGCCTGCTTGGCTGAGATTGCTGCACGAGGGTCCAGAGAGGCAACCACCCCTCATTGGCTGGAGACTCTAGCAGAGGCCAGGGAGATGTGCAGAGCTGAGCTGCAGCCTCTCTGCCCCTCTCCTAACGAAGCCCTCTTTTTCCAACTCAGCAGCACCGCAAACTGGAGACCAGTCTGACCCAGGCCCCAGACACGACATTTCACCGAGAACCAGTACTCTGCTGGGCTCTTCCCAGGGAGTGCTGCTGGCCTACCCCAAGGTTTCCTTCTGTCGTCATGGCAAGGAGAGCCACCCACTGACACTTTGCCATCACACACTTCCTCCTTGCACTGGCACTGGGGCCACTCCACTCACAACCCCATGAGGGACCTCACACAGGTGACCATGGCTGCTTTCGTGCTGGCTGGGTGGCCTGGAATCTGGCCTGAACCAACCTGCCCTCATGGTGTCCTGTGGTGTTTAGCTCTGAACCACTCTAGCACTGGCAACCCGACCCCCTTCCACTGTGCACAACCTCCCTACTCTGAAAACAAGAACAAAACCACAGGAAAGCTGAGTGAGAGGCCAGGTGGTGAGCATGGAAAGACAAACGTTTTCAGTCTTCACTGGTGACTAGGGCTGCCTTTGGGGCCAGGAGCTGTTACCACCTGCTCCTCAGCATGCAGAGGGGAAATGGAGTCTCTCGAGAGGAGCCCACATCTCCATTCTCCCGTGTACCCTCTCAGCCCTCCTGTGTCTCCAGCATAGGAGGTGGGATCTTGCCTCCCTGCTGAGCAGGCCTCTCCATCTGGATTTATACCTACCTTCTTCCCACTGTCGGTTAAAGTTCCCAGGAGTATCAACTCTTCCCTCCTTTCTTCTGGAATATTTAACTGCTCTTTCCAACTCTTCAGCAGGCTTGAGGCAACCATATTTAAAAACAGTCTCTCTGGACCCCACGTTCCTGCCGGCCCCCTCTCCCTCACCTCCTGCTTCATAACTATACTTCCTGCTGACTCTTCCTACAGCCCCAGCACAACTGGCCTCCACCCAATCCCACTACTGAAACAGCAGCCGGCGTCACGTCACAGGGCACATGAGGGCCCACTATGCACTGCTGAAATGCACGTCTGTTCCCCACTCCTGTGGCAAACACCTGCCCCCGACCTTGTCAGTCACTGTATAGTTTCCTCCTGGCCACTGGCCACCCCACGGCAGACACCCTGTCCTCTCTGCTTCCCCTCTGCCCACAATCTCTGCTTGGTATGTGACTTGGGCATTCCTCTTCCCATCTTCAGTCATCAGCTCCTCAAGACAGAACCCTGAGGGTCATCCTTGGCCCCAAATCCTGCCAACATGGTTTCCTAAATCTCACCAGAATGTGACCATTTCTGACCTCTCCAGCTGTGTTGTTTTGTTCTGTTTGCAAAAATTGACAAACTCATTCTAAAACTCATATGGCAATTCAAGTAACACAGACTAGCCAAAACAATTTTGAAAAAGAGCAAAGTTGGGAGACACACTTCTCAATTTCAAAACTTACTACAAAGCTGCAGTCATCAAGGCAATGTGGTACTAGCATAAGGATGGCATGTAGGTAAGTGGGCAGAATTGAGAGTCCAGGAATAACCCTATATTGATGGTCACTTGCTTTTCACAAAGGCATTAAAAAATCTAATGGGAAAAAAAGTGTCTTTTCAACAAATGTGCTAGGACAACTAGATATCCTGAAAAAATGAACTTGGACCCCTGTCAAAAATTAACTCACACTGGATCACATATCTAAATGTAAGAACCAAAACTCTTAAAAAACTTAGGAGTAAATCTTTCTGACTCTGGGTTAAGCAATGGTTTCTTGGCTATGACAACAACAGTACAAGCCATTAAAAAAATAATAATATATTGGACTTCAACAAGGTTTAAAACTTTTGTAGTTAAAATAACACTGTCAGTTGGGCAAGGTGGCTCACGTCTGTAATCCCAACACTTTGGAAGGCCAAGATGGGCAGATCATTTAAGGTCAGGAGTTC